CAGACTGGACAGATGTGTTTCAATTATTACAAAATAACTTTCTAGCCAAAAAAATGAAATGCCTCTCTCCTTGTACTGAGGGTTCAGTTCAAACTCGTGTCGGTCTCCTCGTTAGTCGTCTCTACCGACACTCTTCGGACTTCTCCAATAACACACATTGTAGATACGTGTGTGCCGGCGATCGCCCAAGCTACCACTGAACGAAAACATCTACAGATACGCTTTTGGAAATTAGAAGAGACTGAAATCATCTGGCCATATCCTGTACACTGGTGATAGCCTAATAAAGCGGTATCCATTGCAAGAGCCGGACAAAGTACATTTTGACGGATTAGACATGCTGGGTGGCGCCAGAACCACCTAGTCGAATTGGCAAAGGCCTCTTAAGTTTAGGAGCTAATGTGTTTGCACTCAATCTTCGGATTTGTCGGTTCGTTCACCTCTGTATTTTCAGTAAGAGAAAAATCATCTAGTCTGCTCCGTGTAGAATCGCGTTAACGAGGTTACGGTTGGGAGCCCGCAAAGCCGGATTGGGACGCAAGGGGAAAGCGGCCCAGGAGTCGCACGTTTGCGAGCCCATTGTTTCATTCCAGTAGGAGCCGACTTACGTCTTTGCAGCCGCCTTCAGTATTGTGAGAGCTGTGAAAAAATGCTCCTCTAAATTACGAACAGGGCTAATCTCAGATGCAACCTTTTTGGGCCGAGTCAAATATGCGTATGGTTGCCCATCTGTGAGATTTTGGTACACCACATGCTGGGTCGAGATACATAGTCGACAAAAAGACGAAAAAAAAAGCGAGGCTGGAGCATATATGCACATGTAAGCTACTATAAGTCTTTCTGGTACGCGACCCGCGTTTAACGTGCAACATTGACGGATCAAAGGAATTCAGCAGTACTTAACTAATGAACTCTCTATCGCTACTTGATGCCTCCTCAAAGATTTTGTTTACCGAATTGCGCATAAAGCATATGTCGGCACACCGAAATCCATTTGCCAGATGGCAAGATAACTTCTTTTAATAAGCTTAATTAGATATAGCACTACGTATGAGTGGCTTAAAAAGTAGTTACATGTGTGATACGCGTTCAAGATGATGTACCCAAGTAACAGCTAATCACGTACAACGTTTCCTAGTAAAGTCGCGAAGGCAGGGGGGCGCCGATGGGAGCACAGAGCGAATTTCGCACAAGCGTCCATCCACTATTAGTACTAGCAGTCTCGTAGTTGCTATCTGCTTATCTGAGATAGAGCTATATTGGTAACATGCCCGAAATGTGCCGCGATGGGAACAAGCAACTAAGCATTTCAATAAGATCAGTCTAAAAATACTCGCCAGCCGAAGGCAATAAATAAGCATGTCTGATCCGTAAAGTTATCAAGATAGATATGCGTACAGTCTTCGTGAAATCGAGCATTACATACAATTATATTTCTTGATTTCCTTTGTCCTAGAAGAAAAAATAAATTACACGCAACATTTTTCCTGGCTTGTGCCTCATACTTTAAACAAAAAAAATGTTTGTAATAGTCAAGATTCATTCTAAGGACCCACTAAGGCCTTACTCGCCTAACTGCTTAGATTTTTACACTGAACTTTTCCTGAGCTGAGCTGCGCAAGCGCAAATCGACAGCGTGAATCCGACAAAAAATCACCTTTTTGTTCAACCGCTGCGTTACAACGACTAGCTTTCCAATAACGGAAACGACCACTGGAGTACTTGAAGCATCTATTCAGCTACAGTCAAGAACACACAATACGGAGTTGCTAGTTCAGACGCAATTGGGGCATAAGAGCCTTATTTACGACTTAACCCTTCCCATTTTAAGCCCACACCCATTCAGCTCTTGTCGAAGCAATAGAATAAAAGCACATGGGAATCAACTAGCTGGCCGACATTGAGGCCGGAAACGCGGCAGCGACTGGTCAGATCATCTTAAGAAAAAGATCGTTTGAAAATTAGATTGCCGCAGAAAGCAGGCACCTTCGGGGCAATGATTAGTACTGGTAGCAGCGTAGGGTCGTGGTTCTCCTTTGTCACCGGCGTCGAAGCAAAGGATGGAAAGAGAGTTCGCTCTTGCTGGTAGCCATGCTGTGTCACGGAGCATCCGTGTGTGGCCCGTACGGCTACGGTCTTCAGAGTTTACTGTACTAGTGGCCTTGTGTCCCTATTGAAACATCTACTCAGCGGCTGTACGTTGTCGTGGTTTGTCGTGGTAGATCTTCGGGTCCTTCAGGTCGTCAGGAAGTTCTCACGCCTATGTACTTCAGCCCATCGTCATAGTATGTCCCTGACTCCTTCCCGTTGTAGAGTACCTGCGTTTGTAGCAGGCAATACGAGGAGGGTACTTGTAAGGATCAACTGAGCAACCCAAGAAGTTGCAGTCGCTCTTTGCCGTTGTAAGCCGAGTCATCCCGCACCGCTGTCAAGTTGCCACACCCCGCGGTCGATAATTGACTATAATTAGAAATTAAATACGGCCGTATCTAAAAACATATCCCAACAGCGCGTTCAAACGTAACGATGCGTTTTGCAAACGTTAAGTACTTCATGCTTTAAAGGTAAATGCGGTTGAGGTATCTGTAGAACAGGCTATATGGAGTCCAGGGTTCGCAATTAGGAGCTATATTATTTATGACAATATATATATATATATATACATAGTGTAAAATCAAAAGCGACTGTCTTATATTTTTGTTTCCTAGTTTTGTCATGAACTTGGTGACATTTCTAATCCGTAAAAAAGGTAGCTACAGGTAACACTGGTATTACCATCATTTAGCAAATAGCTCCATATGGCTGCATTTTATGTTAGCGGTATGAATTTGAGCGGAGAACTATATATTATGTGGGTCAGACACACTCGTTCCCTCAAAGGGGCCACAAAAATAATTTAAACCTTTACTTATCTTGAGATTGAAATAGTTTTAGCCTATATTATAACTTCTCTATAAATGCCAAAACGTCAAGCTGAATTCTGGAGTCGGTTAAATTGTATAATCATAAAAAGGTTCAATATAACTTTGCAAGATAATACTTACGCAGGATATTCATTTGCCCAGTATACATAATAGCCTTCATCAAACAGGATTGTCCATGCATTGTGTTACTGCTAAAATATTTTTAGCCCTTGTTGTTTATGTAATATCCAACGTCTTTTGTATAAGTTACGATTTTGTTTTCTCCATTATTTTAAACGCAAAGTTTTCAATACTTTAGGGCGCTTAAGCATAAGCGTTAACTTGATTAATTTCTTAATTATAGGTTACCGTCTTTAAGACATATGTAAAACTATTTTTGGAAGCTCCTTGCCTTTGGTTAGGCCCAGACCGTATAATGGTGCTGCATAAATCATAATTGATTCAACATATATAGAACACAGCTTAGCGTACGAATCGAAGAGTTCACTTAAAAGGTTGTGTCGCGAGGAGCACTACGTCCGTTGGATGTTCTAAATGTTTTCTTTATTTAAAAAAAAATATAAATCTTTAATTGCATTTCAGGTATGAAGATTTGCGTAACGTAACCTTGTTCCATATTCCCATGCCCAAAATAAAAAACGGCACGTATATCAGGAGATGATTTTAGGTCTAGTCCTTCAATCCATTTATATAAATCTATCAAAGCTTGTTGCATAACAAATTATTTTTGTAAACTAGTTACACTCTTCAATCGTCTGCATGCATTTTTACCGAGACTGATGGTAGCAGTCTGTACGCTAAGAGCCTTGTGTGCAATTCCTACATTAGAAAGCCCAGTGCAGTGGCTTAACGACGTTACATTAGCACCCTTAAAATATTTGGCATGACGGGTGCTTCGAATCAATCCTCCAAATGATTTCCGACTCCTTAACGCGGCAGAATGGTCGGCGACAAATTCAGCGGCAGATTTAAAACCAAATACGTAGCATCAAAGCACAAAAGGACTCTGCGCACCATGTTGACTAGTGGCCTTGAGTGTTCAATAGCTGAATTGTTGTAGTTTATCCTAGTCCATAGGCGAACTACGTGTCCCATATCAGTCTCTGTGCATTGGCATTTTCGTATATAACTAGAATTACGGTACGTTCCAGAATCTTGCACGCCACAGGGAGAGAGAGAGAGAGAGAAGGGTCTCTATTATCTAGAAAAAGGGTCCTTTTGGAAGCAGGCCATCTGGCGTTTCGCTAGCCTTTACCTTACTTATATGTGCCAGATGCTATGTGGATGGACATAGAGAGGTCTTTCTGGGGTTGCAGGTGGACTCCTTTGATTTCGTTGTCGAATTCCGTTGACTTTCGAACGTCTTTTTTGTGTTCCTTCGTAATGGGTTGCCTATTCATAGCCTCGGCAACTTCCTTCTGAGGAATAATGATTGCATATTTGTTTTTGCCTTATGCTGCTACGCTGGTTCAAATCTTAGCGTTGGTCAAAATTAACATCAAATATTAATAATTCGCAAACTAAGGCACAAATAAAAAATAAGGAATTAAGGAAATACAATAGTATTAAAGTTAACAGCTGCTTACAGCGTTGGCGTGCCGTTTCACAGATCTGTTAGAAGGAACGTCAGATTAGTCCACCAAAACCCGCTCAGGTTAGACTTTTGACGGAGGCGAATCCCTGACCGTAAGTTTAAAAAGAGGCCTTGTTCACATTGAAACTGTAATTTAAAATGCCACAAGCGAAAATACCCCAAAAACATTATGTTGCCTTTAAGAAATTCATTGTCATCTTATAAAAGAGGCTGATTCCGCTATTCTTTACAGTGTAAGTACTAATATCATTGTCAGAGACTGTAAATTGTTCAATATTATACGTTTTGAGAACGGTACATACAAAACGATTTATTTTTAGTTTTAAACAATACTGGGTTTTTAAAATATATATATATATATATATATATACATGAGGTGAAAGTAACGGTTTTGTTAGCGGATGATGACGAGTTAGAACTACTAAATCACGAGTTATATGCTACCAGTTGATTGTGCATTTCATTTAAATTCATACATTCTTCAAAAACCGATCTGTTTAATCTGGAAGTAATTTTCTTGTGGTAAAGTTCTCCTTTTCGTAGTCTAAGCTAAACAACGATTCTCAGCAAAATCACCAGCGAGACCGGGTTCTACATGATCTCCGATCTTAAGAGATCGGATTGAACCTTTGTTTCTAATTAAGTCATCCCTACCCGTTTTTTGGTCATAGTGGATTAGTTCGGTCACGAACTGTGTAAAGCCATATGCAGCACATAAGTTGAGCAAGATGTTCTTTTTAAACGTAAGGTCTTTGAAATGCTTCGTAGTTTATGTGGGGTTAAATGGGCCTATAAGTTTCCGTAGCTCCTCTGTTAGCTTCTTTATGCGATTCACAGTAGCTAAATTAACTCCATTAACGAGAAGTAGGCCAATATTAAGCACATGGTTTTTTTCGGCTAAGATAACGTTGCAGCCGGCTGCTTCAGATGATAGAGCAGTAGCCCTACTGTCGGCCCTTGCGAGATCTTTTCTGAGCGAAGACCTATGTTTATTTAATTCACTTGCGCTATTTTTGGTAAGTCATGACACCGCAAAATATTGGTTATATCGTCTTTTGCAAGGAACTAGGCACTTAGTTGTTGTTAAGTACTGTGGAGGGTTTAAATACTGCTATCTATGATGATCTGAAGTGAATCGGGCACGGACGGCTACAGAGCTATGCTGACTGCCACTCGCTGGTCATGGAATAAGCCATTTGGGGGACAGCTTCGATAGAGGCGCTGCAGTTGACTACCAGAACTGTTAGCTTTTCGTATGATATTCCTTATTGCTTTTCCTGTCCTAGGCCCCTTAAATCTAAAATACAGTTGAATCATAGCCCAAGCTTCGCTTCTGGCTGATTTTGTTGTCGACAGAGAGTTGAATGCGACTCTCGGAACGGTTTCTTTGCAAAATGCCAGGGACATTTTTTGGGGTCCTTCTGTTTCGCTGATAGATCACTCATTTTCATGAACTGTTCCACTGAGATATTCGTCTCGTCCTTTTCCTGCTTAAGAGTTTTCATCTATTTTCTAAGCTTGTATCCTTCAAGTGGAATCGTTTGCGGTGAACATCTATCAGCGGCGATGCGCCCAACCTTTCGCCAATAACCTCCTTATCCACCTCTCTGTCTTCGTTGTTTGAAGGATTACACTGGAACGATAAAACAGAACTCGTTTTAGAATGATTCCTCAGATCGGCGAAGATTTCGAAGTAAACTGGGTAGTGGAAGTAAACTCAATCGCTTCAAATGGTACGTTTCACACCTGTTTTCTTCCTTCTCTCTGTTGATGAGCTCTTTGCACATTGAGCAAGTAAACTTCAACAATTTGTTTGAAGTAGTAGTTTCAAGGTCACCTTCCAATCTTCTGCGGCACTGTATCATTCTTAATTCAGCGTCTAGAGATTCACTTTGGACCTCGTTATAGTGTTCGGTGCAGCGCTTTGTCGGATTTCCATGTGAAATTATCTACTTTTTCAAGAACTCAGTATTTTTCTTTGTTTACCTTCGTATCTTCTACATAAGGCTTTTCTTTATTATAAGATAATTACACTCGACACTCTGAGAAATTAGGGAAACTGTTTTTAGAGACATACCTTTTTAATTGCCTGACTCAACTTGCCTCCGTTTATTCTGTGAATAGAATTTATATATATAAAAAAAAGAAGCCTAAAAAAAGAAAATATATATATATATATGTATATATATATATATATATATATATACATATATATATATAAATTCTATTCTTTTTTATTCTTTTTTTCATTACTTTTTATTTTTAAATGCTTTTATATTATATGTATATTTTAGTTTTATTTCTTTTTTATTTTTATTTAACTTTTTAAATATAGATAACATAAACATGTAAGAAAAGTAAGTCATTATTAATATTTCCTGGTCCGTTCTGGCAATACAGCATCCTACAACATAGTAACACGCCACGGCACGACACTCCTGTATATAGCCTTTCTGGTTGTCGAATCTTTTAAGGTCGGTTGAGAGGACTACCGGTTTAAAGACAGATGTTGTCTTTTGATAAAAATAAAATAAACATTAAATTCTAAACTCTTCATTTTTGCCTTCTCCCTGTGTATATATTTGACCCACAATGTCGTATTCATCGTCTGCTCTTTGGGCAAGCTTCACTCAAGCTACTATTCAAGAACACTGGTTTGTTGCCATCGCTGCATATAGATAATGAATTCTATTTTAGTTCATGTTTTTAATAAATGCAATTGTGATATCTTATGAAATCTAAAACATACGTAAATTTTTTAAAATACATGTTATGAAGTTTCAACGAAAATGCCGAAAACTAAAAATGAAGTAGAGAACGGATAAAGACGGTGTGGTATACACAAGGCACAATTCGCATCTGGTGGACACCGTCGCCGTGGACGAGGTATGATGAATTAACCTGTGCCGGCCCACAAGGGAAGAATCAAGTAAGAAAACGATGTCAAACACGAAAAGAGCTATTTCAGCGGCAATAGTCAATAAACTGAGGCCCAAACTAATGTTTATACTTGCATTTATGATTACGGATAAGGCCTCAAGAGAGAACGGTCAGCCCTGTTAGTATCTTGACTTCTTGAACAGTCCCATGGATAAGCGGCACAACAATCGATAGCACACATAATGGTCGTTAGGCATAATCCTATCGCTACGTTTCAGTAATAGACCGAATCAGGTAAAAAGAAAACATTCGAGTTTTGACTTCAGCCCTAATACTAGGTTCGATCGCCTTCATGCGTTCGAAAGGACGATATGTGACGCAGCGTATCTCGCTATCGATTCTATTGAAGTATTGCAAACAGTTTCTGAGATACTCCTACTAAACTCCTAGTATAGCTAATATTCACTATATAGCTATGCCAACTGTTTATGATTGAAAATAGGGAAATTCCTTCTGCCGGCAAATCACTGGCGAGCCTCGGCAGAGAACTGTTTAGCATGAATAAAACAAAAAATAAACAACATTGTTTACAGAATACACTTTTCGATTGAATGACTATAATTTTATCACAAGTAGAAACCAGCAGTTCATTACAAAAATCCAATGGGACGCCAAAGTGGTGCCATTGTAATTAATGCTTGTATAAATATACATTAAACAGCCCCACCCTGTTTGGCAATATGAACAATCGACTTACTAAGCAAGCAAGAGAGGAGAAGAGACTTTATAGGCACTACGTAAAGTCGTTTCTGAGACGCCGTTGGCGTCATTGAACAATTACCATTTGAGATAATATCGATTTGTCTCATAGTTGGTCCACAAGGAAGGCTAACGGTAAACAAGTCTACCGTTAGTCTCCGTTTTTAGGAAGAGAACTTGTTCTTTCACCGTTTTCCTCAAATCACAAACCAAAAATATGTACACTTTGGGCCTTAAAGCATTACATTACAAAACAGTGTCAATATCAGAACGGATTAACCGACAGAAGCAAGATTTCAAAAGAACAATCGAACCCTGTGACATTATGGGTTTCTCTCGCGTTCGGTTTGCCGCGACAAAACTCAAGTTAGCAATCAGGCTGAAATACAGTTGTGCATTTTTGTCAATACAGTTTGCCTGTACACTAGAATTTACGAAGGGCTAAAGGCGACGAAATCTCATACAGGCACGTTAACGAAGTAAACTCACAAGTTCGCGTCAATGTTTTTCCTTTGACTTTTACCCCTGCAGAATTTGCTCCAGGTTGCTCCATATACATGCAGTAAAGTCAATGTCATTTGTTATTAAATGCACAGTTCGAAGCTGACGCATATCCTTTAGGAAAGCCTGTGATCCGTGACTAGTTCATGCGACCCGTAACAGCCTTTACAACTTCGACAAAGGCCATTGCCAATGTTTTTCTGTTAAACAGATACGTCTAAAAAAAGGTTAAAAATGTTGGTAAAATCTGTGTGGTAGGTATGTACATATTATATCATGTTGTTACCGCTTTTATACACTTAGGATGTCCTAAAATTCGAAGTTAATGCTTTAGAGGGTTATATAGCTGCATAAACAACATATTTTTCTTGAAGGACCCGCGAAAGCAAGCACTTACTTTACCACCAAAGCTCTAGGTTATTTGTGAAGGAGGTAACATAACAGAAACAGCTTTAGAAGGGACGCTATTCGCAGAAAACAACTGTTTTAGTTGACTAGGTAAAGTAAGTGGGGCTTGCGCGCCCAAGAGAGCTCGCCATGATAGCTTGAAAGGGTAACGTATTTGCCTGCTAATCTGAGAGAAACGTTGCGGTTTAAGTTCGAACTCGGGCATAAACAGACTTCGTTTTGTGCTGCAAGTCAGCTGTCTGATGGAATACCTAACGGCGACACCGGCCATGAATCTCGAAACGTAGATACGTTTGCATCTAAATTAAATTTAAAAACTTTAAATTTGAATACCTATTTAAGGCTCGTTGATTATAAAGAGCTAATAATAACAAGTCAAATAATAAAGAATTTTAACTCGTTACGCTCGATTTTTTTAATTGAAAATTAAAGGTTGAGAAGCATCTGTCTGATACTGTTTTATTTTAAACGCCCAAAGTGATAACAAAATATCTTTTGGATGCAATCGTACATTTTCGCTTAATTCGAGATCGAGTCAATTTTGTTGTACGGTTATCAGTGGATATTGCCTCAAGTGCCTAAAATAGCGACCATTAATAATAATACATATTTTTAATACATTAATAATACAATGGCGAAAAGAAGTGTGATACGTATCTTTAAGGATCGGGTATTTTTGGAAGACAAACATTGCCTTAAGGGAAGTTATTATGTTTAATAACAATTCCGAAAGGCCGACATTAATTTGAAGACGAAAGTCTTCATTTGTTTTAACGGGCTTCTTTAGTCTAGTTGAATAGTGCTGAGTTCTCGTGTTTGAATAGGCACCCATGGCAACATCAAGGGCATTTGATCTCGCAGCCTGAGCTCTAGTTGGTAGAAATGATCGCGAAAATAGTTGTTCTGTTCTGTCGCAATCTTCAAAAACGTGTCCTACTCTTTCTGATTTGTATCAAGCCTGTATTGCACTAAAATCACCGTTTCGAGCATTTGCTGTGGTATCAACAGACAAATAGCTAAAAAAAAAAAGTAAGAAAAAATGTATTATAAAATAACATATTTTTTATTACTTTCCGCATCTAAGATTTATTTTAGTATTTTGTTAGCACATTGAGCTTGGCTTGATATCAAATAAAGGTGTAGAGTTTTAACTCTATGCGGATGCTGCGAGGTCTCCGGCAATTGGAAAATTTCTATTTCTAAAGGAAAAATATAAATTTTCTTTATATTTGATCTATTACTGTAAGTTGTTGTTAATTGACTTGCAATAATAAGTGCTTGTTTAAAAATAAGGCCACTGCTCTAGAACTCCAGAAATAGAACTTGTTTTTATAAAAACAATAAAGATATTTCTTCAAGAATTGCGTTTGCTGTTTGCGAAGAAGAGCAACCCTAGATAGGAAAACCGATTAAGACAGGCAAAAGATCATCTGGCGGGGTATGAAGTATCAGTACCAGTTACTTTCCTAAGCTAAGCCAACTGTTTGCGTTAAAGGCGGGAGATGTCAATAGTTATTTTACAGCCCTGTAGTATCGCGACACGAAGGGTAAGCGCATTCGGAGAAACACCCATATGGATCAGCGTAAGCATAACCTTGTCGTTGAGCGTCAAGTCGAAGCTTATTTTTGAAATCAACAAATCGTGAATTGAAGACGTCCTCGAGATTGCTTAATGAGTATTTGCCCGCTAATCTTAGAGCTACGTTGCGGTCTAGATTTGAATCCGGGCATAGACAGACTTCTTTTCGTGCTGGAAGAGCCGTCTGATGAAAGGCCTAACGTCGATACAGAACGTAAAACTCGAAACATACATAGAGGCTCTCAGAACTTGGGTTAGATTCTCGCACTGTAAAGTCTTGTTGTATGGAGATCCCTTCTTTCCATGCTGCGGCTAAAAACCACGGATCATGACCCAAACATCTCCGAAAAGTGATTTATGAAGCTTAAGGAGCTAACTAGGTCGGTCGCCGAGCTCCATGGCGCGTTGGCCACATGATGGGTTCTGAATCGGCGACTAAAGGGCTTGCCATTCCTTTAAGGTATTGACGCACACATATTTTTGTAGATCGTTTAAAGGAAGGAGGCGCCTGATCTCGAATGAGTTTCACAGTCGTAGGGAAAGCATTTCTCGTATGAGGATAACAGCCTTCATCAAGAACGCTACATGACCGCGCAGAGGGCTAAAACGTCACTTGAAACAAGCGAAAAAAGTGCCGAGTACTTGAACTTAATATTTAGATATAAGTAAAACGATTCGGAGGAAATTACCCCTTATCGACTCAAGATGCAATGTATTAAAATCGACACCACTATTTAGTTGATGTTAATTCATGGAAACGATAATTTCAACCAATTATCTTTACGAACAGATTCTATCGCTAAGTACATTTATCCACTCTAGGGGAATTTCAAGCTCACGACTCAAGTCTAAATAATAGTACAGGGCTCATTGTTTTTAGCGATAATATCCAGCTCAGTTCGCAGTCTCGCAATGCCTTACGGAATTTACCAAGAATGTCAGTCAAGCTTTTTTGCATCTCACGATATCAACGGTGACATGCTGACCCGCTCTCGTCGTGCGTTGAGGTTAAACGTACCAAAACATGGGCAGCCTAAGCTGGGGTAGCCGTTTGATGTTTTGTCTGCAACGAAACCCTCGCAAACGGTGCTTTCAGGTTTTATTGTTCAATTATTATTCAACGCGTAGTATATACCGAACTAAGTCGAATAAAGCTTGTTAACCTAAACCCCGTTGTAGCTACATTGAATCTTTGTGATGGTACGGTATTTACCAAACTTTACGTTTACGACAGATATAGTCCGTTTCGTTCCAAGGATAGCCATTTGAAGGACCACTTAACGGCAAAGTATCAGGTATAACGATTCAAAGCATTTACCTGTGCAGTAAATCTGAGATACTTGTTGCGTGATACTACTCGGTTTTCGGGTGCGCATAAGCGTTTTCGAGGTAATTCTTGTTAAAAAAAAGATAGTGGCATAAAGACCTGGTTACAAAATGTGACGGCCTTTTGCCAAGTTAGCGATCTGATTCGCAACTGACCTACACTAATATAAAAATTCACCTAAAAAAAGCATGGATTATCGTTATATTAATAGGTACAATCAATAAATCATTGAAAATGAACGATGGCGGATCCAGTCACAATCTAAATGGGAGACTGCCTATGGCCTGCTAGTAAAATTTGCGTGAGTTTTGTCACTCCTGCTATTACACAAAGCAGGCCATCTTCTACACACGTGTGTAATCAGATAAAAAATGTACACTACAATCAGCTTCTCTTGATGTATATATGAGCCAAGTCCGTATATTAGGCTCTGCCGACCTTACATTCTTTTTTTTTTTTACTTTCACTTCTATGACATATTCGTATAGCTTTATTTAGTGCTAGCTGATTACTGCTAGTTTCGAACCACAACGATCAACTAATGATAAAATTTCTAACCTACAAGTCAGCTGCAATTGACGGCTATCTAAGCACCTGTTAAGCGTATCGATGCTTGCTGACACCTTATAGGCGTTCCAGTTGATTAATCTATCGATTCGACTTCAACTGGCCATCATCAGAGCCTAAATTTTGTTTTTTAATAATAGGCCTTTTCACATACTGTGTTACTAACTTTATTAAACATATTATTATTATTATTAAACATAAATAACGTTTTCTAATTTTTGTTTAACGTATCCTCTTGGTAACAATCGCATTAATCTCACAAAATAAAAAAAAAACTTTTAATTCGAAATAATTGGTAAGGTAAACATATTCCACCAAGGAGGACAATATTAGAATATATATCGATTGATAATATTGCCCGGAAATTCTAGGTATGAAATGGCAAAGCAAAGCCGTTCACAGTTTAAACTGTCAGCCAGATTATATTCTGCTAAAAAACTTTTGTTCCTCAAAATTCGAAAAAAACAATCGAGATTATCCTTAATCAAGCTTCATTCAAAGGTAAGCAAAAAACATGTGACATGAGTATCAGAAATTCTGTTTGTAGCTGACAAGTTTGTTTGCATAGTTTTATAAGCGAGATCAAAGAAGCAATTGCCGATGATTTTGAAGTTGAGTAAGTAAAGGATGGCACGATCAAACTATCCGTCCTGCGCTCATTTCGTTGTTACCTGATGTCATGCTCAGCCTTATTTGGCACTCACAGGTATCTCGCTACAGCTACCGTGCTTAATCTATATAGTTAGAATCCTTTGATTGATTGAAAATGTTCTGACAATCGTGGTATCTTATTGTGTTTATTTTATCAGCCTGTGTCAATACGAACAGATTTAATTTAGCTTATGCCCAACCTAACATACTGTTGCGGTAATACGGTTACAGTGATTTTTATTTCCCTGATCTAGTCAAGCCACACGTTTGAAGTTTTTGAGCCCGGTATCATCGTGAGGCCTAGCTTTCAACACAAAGCCCGAGTTCTAACGTAGACCATAACGTGTCCCTAGGATTAGCAGGCAAATACGTTACCCACGAAGCTATCACGGGATCTAATCAACCTATTATCTTATTCCAGTGATCCTGCTGCTTGGACCCTTTTCTAGCGATCAGCTACGTGCGACATAACTAGCAGTAATCTTATTATAATATAGTTGGAATGTCAAAACAATCCTGCTATTTGCTACATAGTATGTTCATCAGCTTATCCTAATATCAGCGCGTTATCGAAACCTTATCAGTAATTATAGTTGTCCACTAATCTGGCGGCGTGTTTGTAGCTGTCCGTTTGCAGCAACCCTATCGCTCTAGTCGGGTCAATCTACCACATTGTCTCAGCTATTTCGAGATTACCTTGATACGGTTATTCTGATGTCGCTTCTCTAATAGAATGTTTTTTTTCTTATTTGACCCACTTCGAAAGCATCAGTATAGAGCTAAATTATATCTAAATATTTTTATAGGGTACCATTCGCTCAGATTTCACCTAGCTAAGGTTCTAAGCCAATATTTCAAACGCAAGTCCGGCACCGCCGTCAAGCATTGCCTTGTAGACCGGTCATGTTTGTTACGATACGAAGTATATTTACGCCCTCTTTCCAATATAGATCAACTCACATGTATCTAAGATTAGTATGTAAACAAGTTAAAGTTTTTAATCGTTTTGTATATTTGAACACCCAGGATCTGAACCACGGGATCCATATTCTGAGGTCATCTAAAGGCTCACTTCAATCCTTCGCATTCGGTTCGCAAAAGCAGGCTTATATTACCGAATGTCTGCCCCGCTGTAAACTACCCTATGCCATGTCACTTTTCCATCAGTTCTTAACTGTATAGCCTGATTCATTAGTGATATGTGGCCCCACGATGCCTGTGTTTTTCATGGACTAAGAGACGTGAGACAGTTATGGCTGTTGTCATGGCCGCCATAGTTGCCACCAGCCACTATCATGTAAGTGTTGCTTTATGCCTGAGCTTTTCACTCGGAATTATGGTCGCTTCGGCCATAACCACTGAGATAAGAAGTCAAGCGATTCTCTTTGTTCTAAAAAAAAATTCGCTTTGGCCTTCAGCTTGAATTGAGCCTATGCCCATTAGGTTGACGCAGTGTACAAAAGCCTGTTACCGGCTGATTATTTCACTCAGAAAGTAACCGAAGTACTGCTGCACCGTCACAGGTAATCTGGCACAAGCTTTAACTTTTAGACATATCCTATTGTATTGGCATCATCTAATTGTTGTGTCTATAGGTACCCAGTCATCGCGTGGGCACATTTTCGCATTTACAAAATCTATTACTAGTTCTTTGTAGTCTCCGATCGCATTTCATCCGTTACACAAAATCGGCATCAATATGTTTTAAAAATTCTCAATAATTTTTTCAAAAATCACCAATGCATCCTTCAAACACAATAACATGAAAAATTGATTTTTACCGCTATTCTGGTTTCGTTCGACTTTGTAGAGCATTTTACGGAGCGGAAATGCACAATTCTTTAATGATGGCCTCCCAGAAATGCGCAATACTGGTCGAATATACCGCTCCAATAGGGGCAACTTACTCACACTACACCCTCTAGCGAGAGAAATTGTTCTCAAAAAAGCATTTAATTAATTTCCAAAAATCTCAAGCACAGCTATAAAGTCTCGCATACTTGATGTATGTAAAGATAAATATTAATTATATTGAGAGATAATACAATAGAGAGACGAACGCAAATGTAAAGTCTGTCTATCGGAAGCTCATTTATTGCACTTCCATTGCTGACCTATAACCTAGCCCGGTCGGCGAGTGAACTTTGAAGCTAACATAAACATATACAAAACCTAAACCCGACAGCATCTATATGTCATATTTGAAATAAGGGGCGTATGGATATTCTTGTGCGCACCAGTTAGCTTCACAGAGAGGTCCTAGTGAACTTCTACCGATTAACTCTGTAGCATTGCCACAAGCACTTACTGGAGATCGTCGGTGAAATAACAACGAAACTTTTATGTGCTAGCTCTACATGACCGGTATCACACATACAACATACAGTATTTCAAATCAAAGTAGTTTTGCATTTTTTTTTTTAATTATCTTTAATTTGATTTTAGTCTTGTATAACCCGCTAAACGAAGCGCATCAGGTAGTTTAAAACACATTTGCTATTAAACATATAATGTATACAAAGCGGCTATTTCACAGTGTTTATCCAATCTAATCCAATGATTCCCTACTATAAAAACGTTTTGCCAAGTCGTAATTTTAAAGATCGAGTTCAGTATATATATATATATATATATATATATATATATATATATATACTACACCTTGGCTCAAAGAATCTAAAATTCCTTTCCATACTCCTAGGCTAGCGCCTTTTATCATTCTGGATGTAAGAATGCATCTTTCAGGATCGTTCCTTTCAAATTATCGTAACCGAGACTCTGCTGATATCCTTTTATCCTCTGGCTACATTGTATGTGTATTCTTCGATACGTAAAATAGATGCTCTAGGATTTTCGAATAGAATACATTCCATAAGAAACATATGCTTTGTCTCCGTTCACTCACTAACCAAGGTCCGCCATTGTCACAACAGGGAAGTGTTTGAAGCGGGCAAAGTACCCATTTAATCCGGCAGAGGATCCTCCGGTCGCTAACGTTGCTATGGCAACCCTCTTAAAAGCAGGAACAATAACAGATAGTGAACATACTCTCCTTGTCCTGCTCTCCCACTCTTGCTTCCTAAATCAGGCGAACAACGAGTGACCTTTGTTTCCATACGTGTTGGACCTAAGTGTAAGGTAGTGGAAGACGATGCTTTATTACACTTTATGAGTGGTTTCGAGACTCGATTTCACGGCAGTGTGTCCTTTCCTATATAACATATGACAAAAAAAACATGGCAGGTACAGTGTATCTGGATGTAACAGTAGAATTCGAAACGTTGGGGTCGAGGACTGAAGTGACACCTTTTGATGCCGTATGGCATTCACGGTACCCGCTATTAGCAATTGGCTACGCTAAGAGTGAAAATGGATTAGTTCGTATTATAGAGTATTCGCTGGAGAACGACACTATCCACCCATTAGAGGACTATGAACATGAGTCTGCACAACCTTGTTGTCTGTCATGGCATCCGTCTGAACGGTGTCTTGTCGCTGGTTGGGAGAATGGCGAGGTAACTATCTGGACGCCAATCGGAGGCACAATTGTGCAAACTGTGCAACATCAATACCCCGTATCGCAGATTGAGTGGAGCGCGTGCACACCCGTTCGACTAGTGACAGCTGATACAGCTGGGTCCTGCCTCGGCTGGCAGTTGCAGGATAATGTAGGTGAACAATTATTTTATCATGAAATCCGAGAGACCCTCGTTGACATTGTATTCCGGCCAAACGCCAAAGATTTCTTCGTTGCTACGGAGTCCGGAACATTATTCATAGTAACTGATACGGGACAATGCCACGATTTGCTTCGTGTTGATGGGCATGTTATCCGCTTGCTGTACAATAGCAATAGCAATACCCTTGTAACAGTAACGGAAAACCTTGTTATATCTCAGTTTCGACACACAGAACAAAATGGCGTGGACCAAGTAAGTCGTGTCAAACTTGCAGGTTCAGGTTATCGTGCACGCATCGAGTGGCTAATGATGGGCGTCCTAGTCATTGCTGCAGGGGATACAAGTTTACGTCTAGTAAATCTGCGCACCAACGACAACGCTAACCTTCATGTAAGCTCGGAAAACAGCAATGAATCCTTTACTGCTCTTGCGGTTGACACTGGAAGTCATAAGGTAGCAGCTGGTACAACACATGGCAGAATTTTCATTTGGAACGAGCCATCCACAGCTGAGGAAGCAGAGGAAAGAAATGCAAACCCGTACGAGGTACAAGTGACTGGAAATTTTCGTACGCTAGGCGTTTGTTCCGCTTTTGGACTAATCAGCGCTGTTGCACAGGAAGTCACCGTGTTTCGGGAACAGCAGGCTTCCCTGGCATATTCGAGTCAACTACTCGCGCTCCAGACAGGCGCTAGAAAGGCTTTCATTGACCTTATCCAAATGTCCGTTAGTGTCAAATTAGAAACTGAAGTGCCAATTCGGGCGCTCTTCGCCGGTAGAGAAGTTGTCGGCGTTTCAGATCGGAAACGTCTTTTATTTTATGAACTTCAACATGCGACGCGAACAGCAAGATTTTTAGGGTCTATGAACACTACTTCAGTTCTAATTTCGCTTCACGACCAGAACGCTTTCGTCATCCAAAACGGTCAGATTGAGGTGCGGTCCTTCCAAGGTGCGCTCAATCAAACAATTGTGGCGCAGCAGGACGAGGGCGAAATAGTCTCAATTGATGTTGCTGGCTTCTTTATAGCTGTGGGCAGCAGCAAAGGTTGTATTCGCATGTGGGATGTCGGAAATCGAAGAGAAATCACTTCGCATGCAGGGCCGAAGTCCCTTCTCATTCCCGAACGGTCCAAGTTACACAGCGTTCGATGTAACGCCAATGGAACTAAAATCAGCGCCATTATGTCCTCCGTAGGTGGAGATCACACGCTTCCCTTATTATATGTGTGGGATATTGAAGAAGATGATGTCTTCTGCCTAGATTTTAGCAGACCCTCGAAGGAAGGTGATCGTAATAGGATGTACACGGATATGAGCGGCAAAGTCCCTGTAAATCACCTTTGGGATGGCGAAGATCCGCGTTTGTTGGTATTAGAATGCCATTTCGAGGACAGCAGTACGGGCAGTTCTGAGGCTGTTATTGTTACTGTCTTCGTGACAGCAGAGTTTGGTCTCGTTGTGCAAGATGCGGTAGCTTTTGATAAAAAAAAATTTTCCCTTATAGGTGCGCATGTACCTTACTTTTATTTAGTTTCTAAAAATGGGTCGTCGGAACGAATGGGACCAGAAAAACTAGCTTATGCGAAACACGCTTACCGTCTAAGTATGAGTGATTTTGTTGGCGTGGAATCATGCGATCGAGAGACACGAGAGGCGGTTCTCAAACTGAGTTTTTTCCTCACAATTGGAAATATGGATGAAGCATTCTCAGCCATACGAAGCATTAAAAGTGAGTCTGTCTGGGAAAATATGGCACGTATGTGTGTCAAGAATAAGCGATTAGACGTCGCTCCCGTCTGCCTAGGCAAGATGAAAAAGGTCTCCGCTGCGATGGCATTACGACAGGTTCAGGCCAAGCACCCTGAGAACATCGATTTACAAGTGAGTACGGCATATATTTTATTCAATACATAGAATATCACAGTAGCAATTACAAATGTAATCTTGGTATATTTAGCATTATGAAGGAGGACTATCAAAAATCAGCTCAGGCCAAAAATCATGCAGTGCACAGCCATATTTTTTTTTTAACGAAAAATACTGCCATGATGCGCAAGTCATTACATCATTGGCAAAAGGAAACTTACTAATGATAAAAGGTACTTCAATATGGTCGTTTTATCAGGTAGCGACGCTTGCTATTTACCTTGGAATGATAGAAGAAGCTAAGAATCTTCTGGAAACGAACGCAGATAACCGCATGCTCATAAAACTCCTTTGTGATTTGAATCGCTGGGACGAAGCACTTGAGCTAGCCGAACGAAAAAGTCGTATCAACCTCAAAAACACCTATTTTAGGTAAGTAAAGCTGTTAAACCCAGCCCGGTTTCCAGAACCCGAACCACTTTGGGCTCTTTGGATTTTCTCTGGACTGTGGTTATAAAGATTAAATTTTACCATTAAAGCATTTCGCTGGTACTGTAGGAACCCTAATGTTTGTGAAAGTCATTTCTACCACACTAATAAACGTGAAACAAAGTAATTTGGGATGGGACGGCCCCGCATTACGGGTCGAATGGTGACAGTCACTCAGTCTCAGTATTAGTGAATGATATGACCGAGCGAGTAGTTTCTGTTTATTTATATAAACGGTAAATAAGTAAGAGTACGATCGTTTTTCTTCTAACTGTCCGAAGACTTTGCTATTAAACCTGCTTACTTTTCGTCCATTACATCGTTTTTAGCAATCGGTGTTTTTTAATATAAACACAAAAATAATATTTTTAGATAATAATACCTTCATTGCAGTAGGAAGAGATTCGTTCTCGAACGCCTTTATAAAATTGCAATAGTGCTTGCAGCTGAAACGCACCAGGATCTTGCTAAAATAAAAGGTACAGGTTTGTTAAATCCAGACATTCTGTCCAGCTTTATTTTGTTGTATATGAGGCTTTAGAGGACCACGGAGAGCATTTGGACCAAACATATGACAATGCAAACACGGCAGCGGTTTAGAGCGTTCTTTAGTCAAAGATAACGTAACATCCATTTCGAAAGGCTTCTTCACTATATTATAAACACGTAAATACATCTAGGTGCGATTTGACTGAGATTATATAGTCTATACCCTTTATTAGCGGGGTATGCATAGCTTATTTTTCAAATTTTTGGCTAAGAGAGTAGGTTTAAAAAATGTAGAATTTACGTATTTTATTTTTACTAATTATTACGATTGGATTTACACTAACCATCTCAACAACATATCAGTTTAGAGCCATGTGTTTCTGATGAAATTTTTGGTAGTCTGGGTTACCCAAGCTTAAACTGCAGATACCGGCCAAGCATTAAATTGGACGCGTGAAATGGGATGCATTACAGCTCGTTTTACCCAAATAAATACGTTTTTGACTTCGCCACGTAACAAAGTTTACACAAACATAAATATAACCTGAGGTAAGGCTGACTCAAGTATACTGATGACACATTGTTATATTCAGTATAAAATATAACACATGTGATATAAGATATCAAATTAATGCTTGTTGCTTTTCATATGCTTGTACGCCCGGCCCAGCAAGTTCCTTAATAAGGTTGCCCTAGTTACTGCGATGAAATGTAATCTTTACGGAGCTCCCTTCCCTTAAATTTGGGCAAATTTGGCCAATGCATATAACGGAGGATGATATTTGTGTTGAAGAAGATATGTTTTTTGGCGACCCAATGAATAACTGCTAAGACTGCGTGGACATGCACAAAAAATGTTGACACACTGTTTGGAATAAAGCAATTCGAGAACGGTAGGCCGAATGGCCTCAAAAAGGCCATCTATACTTTTTGTCTTTAAGTATTGCAGTCCTCCCGCAATGCTGGTAAGATTGAACTATCATAACATGTTTAACATCAAACGCCGAACGCACTTGGTAAGGTATATAGTTGTGCTTGTCTTAGAACTATTTGATTCCTAATAAATAAAATCTGACAAGGCAGGGCTAGTAAAGTATTTATTTTTTTTTACCAATGATTTTTTACCAGTTGAATTTAGCAAAGGGTCCGCTGAATTCTGCCTTCTTCTGTGAGGTAGTACTTGAAACCTTTAAAGAACAACATAATGGTATTCCTGGAGGGGACCTTCACACGATCTGCGCCAACATCTGTAAGATACGGGCTCAATGACCCAATTCTAGCCTCTGTGAAGTATTTTTTCAAGGCTTCTCTAATTCAATTTCACTACAAGAGGGTCAATACACACCGAACCGTCTTCTACTCGGCTACTTTTCATATTGAAGCTTCCTGGTGCACTACGTCATCAAGATGCTATCGAACATTTGACACGCGTTTAATGAAAACCTTGGCCACGTTATAATGTATTACTGATATTTCCCTCTAAAATTTCGTTCACGTCATATGCAACATAACATATTACTGGACAACACACAGGTACGTTTGCAGGTGTACGACTGTAGTTTCCCTGAGACCATATTGCATTAATTTTGTTATTCGGTGGCAACCATCAAAAGAGCGCTCCAAAATTGCTCGAAATGCATCTTCTCCACTGTAAATTGGGGAAGACGAACCCCGATATGGGTTTTTGACTATTTTTACACAGAAGTATATATATATTTTTTTATTTCATTTTGATTCAGCCCGGTGAGAACTTTTGATTGATATCTAGAATGAACCTTCTCCCATAGACCTCCATGTAAATATTCGGTTGCTGTTTTTCCAGTAGAAAAACATTGTTGACGAAAATTTTACGAACGATAGCACATTTCAGCCCTTACAATTTTCCCATGGACATTTATACGAGGACCTTCAAAAAAAGAGCATGAATTGCAGATTGTTTGACAATTTGTTTGAATCGACATTTCGGTCTACGGGACAGAGAATTGTTAATCCAATCGGCTTCAATTTATTGGATGGGCTTACATGCAGCTGTTCTCAGGATGAAACTCATCATGAGAATCAGTCTAACCCGACTGAGACGTGAGAAATGGGAAAGAAACTGCTGACCTGCGGAATTAAGACATCCTATTAAGTTTATTTTCCGTGCAGATTTTTCCAGAATGAAGCTTGAGCGACCCAAAGAAATAGTTTAATCGGTGCACCTTAAACGGTCGTTTTGCGTCAGATAGACCTGTGAATCTACCCTTTTCATATAGATAGATAAACGTAAATAACCTGCTGACTGTGCCTTTTTTGTGACTGCATCTATTCTAATTCGAATGGAACTAAGAGTTAAATGTTTGATTGTAGGTCGAGCCTCACGTGCAAGTATTTGACATGATAGAGGCCGGGGGGCCTGTCCGTAAGTAGGTCGATTTATGTGCAACCCCGTAGTTCATTCTCTCCCTCATTCCTTGCCTAGCACAAATCAAATGATTGCCTTCTGATTATCCTTTGTTTTTCTAAACGCGCATCCTCCAACAGCTGTTTTTGCAACACGTCTGAGAGCACTCAATAACAGCATTTGCAATCTAAATCATGTGAAATAAAATATGTGTCACAGTAAAAGAGGCACGATATAAAGCCCGCAGGGCCCGTCTAATCTATCCTATTAAAGGCTTCGAGTAGTGGTCCAAAGACGATCTTTTAAGGTGGTTCGATGGGAGTCGCTAGAGCTTTATTCTGGGAAGATCTAAGCGGAATATTGAGCCGCCTGAATGAACACGTTTTTCCTATAAAGCAAGTTTCCTTTTCGCCAATGAGTATAACTTCCACTCACTCAGATTACTGCGTACAACCATAGCTGACTATTAATGACGAACCGACCAATCACGGTATCGTTGCCCTCTGCCGCTCTATCCGACCTTCATCGGTTCAAAGCCCGTGAAACCCTGCTAGTCTACCTATTTACCTATTTACAGCTAAAACTCTTTGTCTGTTTATTTGTTTTTCTGTAAAAAAAAAAAAGGTCGTTTTTAATATTAACCAAAAGTTCGTTCCAAACTGAATTAAAATGCAATACATGTTCTTATACCGAAATCTCAGTTTTAGCGTTGGAAATTCCCTCCTGAAAATCAAAGGCTTTATCGAAGCGGTATCTCATATGAAGGATTTGTTCCTGGTGCCAGTCGACAGTTCTCGCCTAACCGAATTAATCGCCTATATCTAAAATGAATATTTCAGCGTGAAAATGGTCAAAAGCCCAATCAGGGATTCGTATTGCCCACATGAAAGCGTCTCAAGTTATTTTTGTGTACCCTTTTGAACGAATTTCTGATAAGTTGAAAAATTGCATTAGCTAACACAGCGGATATCTTTCTTGAACAGCCTTTCTCAAAGATATTATCTAAAATATTTTATGAAATATCGAAACATTTTTTCATTAACTTCCGTATAAACAATATGAATATTGTTTATACGGAAGTTAATGTACTCTAACCGAAAGCTCTCGATGAAGTAAATTAAACTACCATGCATGTTCCTATAACTATCCTATATAATAAATCTTACTTTTTGGCTGGTAAGTGCCATTTGAAGGGAGAGAACTTTACATGCTGTTCTCGTAAGAAGGATTTTTTGCTACCAATCGATAGATCTCCACGAATGGAGTGAAGATGCAATACATGTTTTTATAATTGTTGTTTTTATAATTGTAGTTTTTATAATAATAATAATGTAGAAGTGGCGAAAACCCTATTGATCATATCGGTCTCCTGCGTAGCATTGCGGTAAACACGCGTTTCGAGCGGTCTCTAATAAGTGTTAGTTGGAAAGGCGCCAAGTGTAGAACTGATCTTTTTTTCATTCGTTCTTAATAATCTAAAATATTAAAGAAGTATAACAAAAGAAAAAAGCCTACGAAAAGTTGTGATTTTTCGGAGAGAGAATCAATATGCCAATCAAGAACTATTGAATATTTGTCACTTCTTTCTATTTCATATAACATATTAACAAAACAAAGGTTTCATTCTTAAGCCTTGATGCCATTTAGGACCAAAGTCAACACATTAACCAAAACATGTAAAATCATCACGAAATATATATCATTTCCACATTTTATTAGTATACATGCAACCATTTACGACAATAAAAAAAAAAAAAAAAAACTATTCACCCTGGTAACATCTTCGAAAAGGAATCAATAGATCAACCAATTGCATCAATCACAATGCGCATCGGCATACAGCCAACGCTGATTTATTCACTTGTATCCCCGGAATCAATCAAACAAGACTCATTTAGAGTCCCCCCGGCGAGCACATTAGCACAGGCTTATACTACAAACTATAGAAAAGTAACCTGTTAAATGGAACAGGTTATTACAATTTATGTTGGGTTGAGTGTAAGGCCAACAAATCGGATAAATCAACGGCAAAACAGATGCGGGTCCATTTAGTCTAATACCAAAAACCTCTGTCTGTCTATTCGACCCAAACCGACTCGATAGACTGGTCGGATTGGGCTGCTTTATTCTAGCTCGCCAGAGTTCATCTTACGGTTAAAAACTTATTAGGTAAGTACACCTTTTCAGGGGAAATTTTTTTTCATAAAGCGTTAACTTAATTTACTTAAACTGGTCGTTCTTTGCAATGTTCTCAAAAACGATTCAAAATTTGTTAATAAAAGTATGCTATAGGAAAAATGTTTGTTCTTTTCAAAATAGGTTTATTGATGAAATACTAAATATTTCAATTCATTTTTTTCAAAAGTGCGAATAATTTACTCTGCAGGAAGAGCCAGTTTCTTTTCCTCTACGGAACGCGTGATGTTGATTTGGCTAGTAATTTGGTAGATGAATTGCAAATCACTGGGCATACCTACTACCTACCGAATACCTTGAGATGAATACTTTTTCCCGAACGGTTGGGTTAACCCAAATTGGGCAAGCGAGAACAACTGTAGGGAAACGCGCGACGAGGGTTGAGGACTGGCGCTGCGTTCACGGCCAGAGGTAACATTAATCCCATTACGACAACTAATCACTGCTGAGACAGGCTAATAGAGTAATCGCTCTGCACTGACGAAATGAAAAAAAAAACAAAAAAAAACAACAGGAAAATGACTAAATCAGGGAGATATGATTGCTATTATCTGATGGTTGCAATAAGACAACAAGATGAACAAAACGGGGCCTCGGGAGAAGTTCAACCGATACCTACAAAGGTTTCGATTTGCAGTCGAGCAATAGCTTATTTCAAGTTAGATATGACGCGTATCAAATGTTACAGGAGGCGTGCGGAGTAAACAATGCTGTAGGAATAGGAGAACGGGATACGTGGATCACGGTCTCTGCAAGCGATACATGTTATTAATAAATTCATTGAATTAGGGAATTTTTAGAATTACTGCAACAGGACAACGTAGTTCTTACTGGATCTCAGGACTCCGATACTGTAATTGAGCTACAGTGTATGTTAGGCCAGGTCTAACGCACAATAGATCCGTCCATATTAGAATAGGCTGATGAGATAATTGCAACATCTTAATGTGTACAATAGTGTAGGTTAACCAAAATGTAACAAATCAAATTATATAAATCAAAAACAAAATAGGTCCGCCTAATTCAAAACAGATTTTCATAATTAATACAAAATAGTATACGATTAAAGAGCCTCACACAATCAGATTCTTAGCAAAAACCATAGAAAATACGATAGTGATGTTTATTCTATATGGCTCTAGCCGATATTATCCTACTAACTTTTTACTAAACGTTTTGACTTCAAAGCAAGGTAGTAGTGAGATTGCGAGTGTCCGAGTTTACTTTGAATAAGAGATGTTACACTAAAGAAGCAGTAACGTGCCAATATAGGGCATCTTGCTTCCTTTTCCTTGGTTTATTCCTGGTAAAAAAAAAAAAAAAAACAAACAAAAAAAGGATATCGTAATGCCTCACGGTTTAAGCTCGGGCATAAGCTTATAATATGATAGCTCATATTTCCGACGTCTTTACAGATATGCCAAGCATTTAGAGGAGTTGGGAAAAGTGCAAGAGGCTATCCTGTATTACGAGAAGTCTAATACACACTTGCAACAGGTGCCGCGCATGCTCATCGAAAAAGATATTCGGGCCCTAGAAATCTATATTGCCAAGAGTAAAGATCCACATTTTTTCAAGTGGTGGGCGCAGTATCTCGAAAGTCAAGGCGATACAGAAGAGGCGCTTCGCTATTACGAAATGGCAAAGGACTACGTTAGCTTGGTAAGTGCACAAATACTGTCGTTCAGCAGATTTGTCCTACAGAAAAAATAACACATGACAAATAGAATTTCAATTAAATGTCTGATAATTATACTATACTACAAATATACTTTTTCACTCTCTTTTTTATACCGAACGTTAATTTGTAATAACTTGCTTTATACGCATAAAAAAGTAATTACTAAAACTTGCTAATAACGCCAAGTCAAAGCCATGCTTCGTTCAATGGCTAGAGTCATTTCAGCCAATAACAGTGTAGTTCCCGTTGCAGGTATCTTGCAGCGTCATCACAAAACATTAACTCCATACACTATAGAAATTGATTTCATGAATCTTGCATCTGTTCTTGCAATGAAAAAAAAAAATGTATCAATAATACGGCTAGGTTTGTATCATTTCTCTGTATCTGTGACAAATTTTTTTTGTTCCATATCAAAGAAGTCATTCAATTGTTTTGAAAATCTTCACATCAGCAGAGCACGCGTGACTGGTTTTATTGCCACTCAGACTCTTTGCGTTCAAACGATTTTCTTTGCTTTCAAAGCGAAAACCAAAATTCCGCCAGCGAACTGTCGTCCCGTTCTCGCCGACAGCTTAGTTTTTGAAAGCGGAGTAATACCTTTAAATTATGTTTACGCAACTAAATTCCCGAAGGCTATATAAAATATTAGGCAGAAAGGTGTTGCATTTTATCTTTAACTACTAGATAAGTGTAAAAGCTCCCTAGATCTTCTTCACACGACATTTACTTCACTATTTGGCGCCTTTTAAGCAATTTTAAGAGAATGGGGAAATTTTCTATGCCACAAAAAATTATTATACGATCTAGACCGTTGACCTGAATTGTCACACGAAGCTTATTTTCTGCAACGATCCTCTTCAGCTATTAGGTTAATCCTAATAGCTGAAGGGGACCAAGTAGAGTGAAGTTGGCCTGATTGTCAGCGCTTGAGATTGTTTTCCTACTCGTTGCATGATAAATTTTTACGAATCAACAGGAAACACCTGATGTAATGTGACGACATGTTCAAAGATGTAGAAGTCCGCCGATCACGTAAAATTGTCATTATGTAATAAATAAAAGTTCTTCTTAACGAGCTTCCGATCCCCATGCTTGTCGGATATTCTCCACGTGCTATGTCTTACGGATCCGCATGGTTATCTGTCCATGATAGTACTTTTTGATCGTAACATCGATTTTTCGTAGACAGAGAGTTTTCCCGAAACAAAATTCCCATTTATTAACAATAACCTCCTCTATGTTGTTAGGAGAAAACAAAGCATCGTATAATTCTGCTGAGCCGTGTGGCGCAGCTGAGTTGCTAACTAGGTACACCATGTTAAGCCGAGTTTTTATGTAGAGAACGTACATAGTTCAAGCTAACATACTGCCAATATACGCTTAGTTAAACTCACAGCACTAAAATACACACAACAAGGAGACAATATAGTATTTTAGTGTTATGTTCCTTGGTAAATCAGGAGTTGTATTGATTCACAATAAGGCTACAATAACCAGGAATAACGGTATAAACTGTTAGTCGCCTAGTGACCCATTGGAAAACCATTGATTAATTGAAGAACATTTAATTACGGTGTAATATTCCAGAAAAGTTGTCACTGTATTATTTCTAAAGCGGATAGGTTTTTGTCAGCATAACAGTCGTAAGTTAATATATTCTTTCTATTAAAACGACGTGAATAAATGACAATGAAGGTGCTAATTTGTTTGAAACAGACTACTTTGGCCGTATTGTCTCACTGTTGTCCATGTTTCTTTTCTTTTCAAATTGTTATAGAACATCTGAAAATTCCAATAGGCTGCTAAAATATACAGCTGCCGAATAAATCAGGACGTTGCATATAAGTGCAACTTATTACCAGGAGAGTCTATATAAAACATTCTACTGGTCCTTTAAAGGGTCCAAATTGATCGCTCATTAATTTATAAATTAGTCTGGATTAAGCTTTCTAGTTTATTCTTTAGATGTTGCGCACCTTCAAAAGTGTGACGGTGATACGTTTTATTAACGATTCATGCAGATTAACATACCGTCGTTACTCAAGCACATTGTCTATTGGGGAAAAAAGCTCTTTCAAACTTTTCTACTAAATTTCTGAATGCTTGTCTAAAATGTCACTATATTACCCCTATTTATTTGTTGGTCGCGAACGCAGCAGCTTTTTCGCAAAGAGTATATTTGTCCCCGACTTATTGTATATACATGAAATTAAATCGCGCTTAAATTTTAAGTCTGTAAGCTGTTCTACGGGCTTTGCTGTTTACCAAGAATATTAGATTAAATATAGAAGTTTTCATTAAAAACTCCTCCTTACCACTTACCCACACTTATTGTTTATTTCTAATATACTTATGTACCGTAACGGCGCTGTCACGTGTGGAGAGCTACAATTGCAATACCGTCGTTAACCAATCTCAAGCCCTTTGAATTCGGGCACCTCATGAACTCTCCGAATTTAACAGGGAATCTCAGCATTTTGCCCGGCATTAAGAATCACCCAACCACAATAACCGATTTCTATGTATAACGATCACTAATGATAAAAAGTGGCGTCTGTACATCAGCATGAACCAGATATTGGAATGGCGGCTACGGGGAAGAAATGAAGGCCAGGTTTCAGCCAGATCTTCTTCCGCAAAAGACTACGGCTTGTGTTCAATGGGGCTGCGAGGACCTAATTCTGTGGGAATTGCTTCTTACGTATCAGAGGAGGCATCGAGTAAACAAAACTAAGAAAAAAAAGCCCGATGGATAACGTCAAGTTATCCTGCTCCATAACAGCGCAAAGCTCCACCAATAAACATCGTCAAAGCTGCCGTCCTGGATTTTGAGTAAAAGGCGTTGTTGCGCCCTCCATTTCCGTTGGACCTTGCGCGGGTAGGACTTGTTCATTCATTGAGCAGTCACCTTTATGGCGTTACTCTTGACAAGCATTAACAGTACAAAACATGACTGGAGAACCTGCTACCTTCTGGCGAGACGGTGTGCACCATCTGGTAGGAAAATCGGAGAAAATCATGAACACTAACAGAAAATACAGAACATCACAGTTCTTTGTTGCAGAAATAAAAACTATTTATAAAGATTTCGTTATCATACCTTTCAACCGTTTTAATTAGTCATCTGAGGGTTCAGCAATTTTTAATTTAAAAAAAATCAGCAATGAATCGTTAACGTACACGAATAACTATTGCCTCTAATTGAGTTCGCTGCCACCTTTATATCCAACTACTTACCTTACGTCCCATTTGTGCGCATTTAGCAAAGTACAAGTAGTTGATCTCTCGTTGTTCTAGGAACACAGTGAAACGGAAAAGGATATCGGAAATACCCTGTTCGCGACCTTGAAACAGAAAGAGGCTCAAGCAAATGACCGGATTTAATCTAGCCAAAAGGCGATGCAGGCCATGCAAGAGGCAAGCTACTGAGAAAATCAACTAATTGTGTCCTGTTTTATACTTCCGTTACGCATTACTTTAAATGGCTTATTCTCAGCGCGACACTAAGTGCGCCTACACCCTGATTTTAACATGAACTAATTCACTTGATTCTAATAGACGTGCAGCACAACGGGAAAAATGAACGGACCAGCTGAAAATTGGGCAAGCTCAGACTGCATTCGAGTGATGGTGCTTCGATCGACGAAGAAAGTGACTTAAGAAGAGTTGTCATAAGAGATACTCGGACAAGTTATAAGGTATATGGATAGTGGTGATCCACACGCTCGGGCGAAACACAGCCGTCCGAGTGGCAGAATTGGTTGATGCAACAGCAGCAGCAATCAGGACACAGAAGGCTCTGCGGAGGAGACCTTTAATTAACCTAAATAATTCTCGCTAGGGTCTTCGATTGTTTCGTCAGAAGTGAGTGTTTTTCCTCCTAACCATAGAAAATCGCGTGCTTGCTACAATTTCCTCTCCTGTTTGGTGCCAAAAGCAATATGCGTAGGCCACAACCAACGTTGCTATGATACATTTGGAAGGCGAAAATATGTTCCTCGATGTGTCTAGGAACACTGCTGCGTGAAACGAATTTCACCCGCTATACAAGCATGACAAACATGCTACCCTGAGCAATTGTTTTTATTATTTGTTGCCCGTACAATAACAATACAGATGGTAAAAAGGCAAATATATTTATACGTAAAATTTGTGATTACTACTGATATGAAACCAGATGGGGTCCGCCATTAGACCTGTATGATAGTGAACCACTACAGAACTCAATTTACGATTGAAGGCTATAATAATGGCCACTCCTTTCTTACACATAACATCCTGCTATTTTTTTTCTAACAGAACTTGAACCACGTTGAAACACGGGACAAATGCTTGAATTCGATGTAGTTCATGCTTTGCTCTTGTTAATCGTTGCCCATCATCGGTTTTTAATTGTCTCGTCTCTGTTTTTTCATTACCCTGTTTCGAATAACCGACTGCATTGTTATGGTCGTTCTGCTATCATCAATTATTGTTTTGCTGCCTTCCAGAGACGTGATAACATTGTTGTTCAATAATTCTCTTAGCCCGCTTTGCTACAGTTATCCTAATATGAGATTGTCCATTAATACTGTGAAGCTTCTGTCCTTTTAAAAGAATGCCTTTTCTTCTTACAACGGTTGTTTTATTGGCTTCAATCTCGTTTTTCTATTGCAAGTTATCAGCCATTTTTCTAACCGAAATTTTATGGAAGTATTAGGCATCTTGAAGATGAAAGCACCAAAAATTAATATGAAGAAGTCCGCAACCTAAAACGTAACGCAAAAGAAGTTCCGTAAACTTCTTTCGTTAAAGTTTTTGCACATGCAAAGGACGCGAACATACCGACGCTCGTAATCGATACCCAGCCGTGTCTAATGCGTTTGGTATCTCCGTCTTGGTCTTACGATTCTAGGCCTAGACGATAGGCCTTTAAGCTTGTCGAAGTTTATTCTCAGGGCCTTGTACAGTTAGGCTAAAGATGCTAGAGAATTCAATAAGCTGCAAAGCATGTAGTAAAGGGAAATCATCAATTCGGAAAGCTTTAATTATATTTGTTTGTTTTTGGCAAAAAACAAGTGCGTGTAGATATAAGATCGGTAAAGTTTTTCAATGCTCATTTCTTTGGTCTCATTGTAGCTATAAACAAGATACATTCGTAGAGCATAAATACGGAAATTGTTTAGAGGGTCCTAATCCAAATACCTCACTGGAATTGTAACAAAAAAGCCAAAGATTCATCAGTTTAGGTAGTGGCTAGCCAGTTTTGTGAGCTGGTACTTGTGATAACCGACGTCTATTGTAAAATAACAATTCGAACAAGGTTTTATTTTTCAATAAATGTAGCTACGTTTGTGACGCCTAGGATTTGAAATTAACCTCTTCGCCGTAATGATAAAGAACGATTGTTCCGGTAAAACAGGCCACAAGTGCTGGATGTACTATTATACAGACATAAAGATGTGCCATATACTCCCAATAAACCGTTAAGCCAGATACCATTTATTGAACTTCGTATCCACGTTAATTCAAATATTTCAGATATTGAGCTTAATATTCCTCAAAATGTTGATTGTAGAAATAAACTTCAGCGTCTGATATCAATATATAACTTCAATATCTCAACTATCAATATATCTGCAGTCAGTACAGTTCCTCGCAAATCTTATTTTTGATAGGTGCGAATAAATTGCTTCTTTAACAACGTGGAAACCGCAATGGAAATTGCCAATGACGTCGGGGATCGTGCCGCTTGTTTTCATCTTGCCCGAAATCTTGAAGCACTCGACAAGCCCTCGGACGCTGTCCACTTCTTTTCCAAGGTTAGACTAGTGAGGTTCTAAAAATATTTTTATCTACGCTACATTATTAGAAAGCTGCGACCGTATAAATAGCGGTAATTTCTGAATGTAAGTTATTAAGGTCGTATTAAAATTGCATTGTTGACTTCTTGTCGTCTTCGGCTGATTCGAGAGATAGTGTCTTCGAGATTACCTAAAGCGAACACCAAAATAAATTTCTGGGTAATATCTACCTCTTATACAACAGAAGATATACAAAATCTTATAAGGAAGTAGTTTATGTGGCTATATATTTCTGCTTTTGGTGTTGGGTAATTCCTGCATTAATAATTGTCTATTTTATACAGAGTACGTACATTCACATAGTAGCAATATTATAATTATAGCCAAAATAACAAGAAGCATCTATAACACCTGGAAATACACCGCAGATGGAAATGAAAATGTAATAATGCAAACGATATACACACGCACCAAGTCCACTTTCTACTGCGGCATCATGCACGTATCCCACTTTACATATACTGGATGGACTTTTGTTTTTCCAGAAGTGATGATCTTAGTGAGACTTGCCGGATGAATACTTGCCCTGATGTATCTAACTTCATTCCTCTTCAGTGCTCAAAACGCTGACCTGGAGTGCTCTTTATAGCAGAGCTAGTAATAGGAAAAAAGCATTTGATACCCCACAAAACGATTCTCAGGAAGTCTTTCATATACGTGGAGGCACAGGAATTCCATTTCAACCAGCACTATCGACTTAGTAGTGCAATAACGGTGGGCGAATACGGCTACTAAATTTAGGGAACTGCGCATGAAGTAAAATGGTTTAGGTTGGGAACCAGGCATAGACACGGGATATGTTTTATGCTTTCTGGGTTCAGCGGTTTAAAGTAAGACTTTTGGGTAGTAAAGCAAAACGTAGGACTGGAAACAGATTTTATTTATCTATTATTGGTTTCAGGTCCTCCAATCAGTCAAGTTAAGTAGACTCTTTAACACGCTGTAGTTCTGAGTTTGGGTCTTTTTGCCCTTGGGAAAAACGATTTATGAGCTTAATCGCTTCGCTAGGGACAACCGCATCAAATATATGAGTTTATGTGGAGCATACGGCTTTTTCTTTGTATTCACAGCTCCGTATGGGGCGCGAGACAGTTAAAGTTTAGCGAAGAAATCTTTAATGGCTTAAGGAGCTTCAACATGCCAAATATGCTTGATCCAACTCATCTGTAATACCACGACAATGATACCCTTATACGTCAGCTGGAAAATCAGAAGATCACCTTGCTAGGTTAACAGAACCGCTTTGTAAAGGTTAAGAGGACTGAATAGGCTGTCGTTGGCGCACATGCGCTTTCTTCACTTAATAATTATAAGAGTTGCCTATAAAATTACATTCAAAAATCTGGTACTATAATTTACCGGAATAATTAATGATTTACATTTAAACGACCATAAAATGCTATTACGGAAAGCACTTAAGGATACTGAGGTATTTTATCAGTTATGTTATTATGCGAGATCGCGCCTCATATTGCTAATGATTGATGAAGAAGACACTTTCTGGCATAAAATACCGGACCAAATTTACTAACCAAAGGTCCCCGAGGTTTCGTTAACTACATCTCATCAGTCGTTCGTTGAAATGAACCGTCATCGACCACCACGTTTGGAATTTGGAAATGGTGAACTTTATTTTAAACGAAAGAAGAGAACACCTTTGATTAGATGCCCTTCGAAAACATCAAGCATGCCATCTCGAATGAACCACGATGGAAGTCGTTTTTCTTACACGTTACAGAGCTCCCTCATGCACTCTCCGTTTAGATTAGATCAGTATTCTGGGTTCGATATGGACGAATGGATTCAAGGGCGTGGACAGAATCAGGCTTGGAGTTAATATAAACAGTTTGGTTCTCTACAGGGCCACGAACTCGGCCCGACGATCCTTCTGAGGCAGGCTCCAACATTGTTGATGATTGTAGGCCATAACATCCGCTAATTGTGGGAGGATTTCATGAACATTCGATCATTTTTCGATCATGCTTGTACAGTTGCCACTTGTGAAGATATCAGCTTGAGAAACCTTCGTTCTTAACGTAGAAGCTTGTGTATATAACTTTACTACGCAGAAATTACAGCATGATTGAGTACGCTGTGCTTGGAAAAAGATCAGCGATGCCTCAGGGCTCCGTTTCAAACAAGCAATCTTCTAACCCTTGGTCAGGTCTAGTGGCCTACAGATAAGGGATGGGCCATTAAAAGAGACTCGTAAAGTAACGAGACTGTCGCGTAGGGCGTGACTGTATCGGACATGTATGTTCTTGGATATCGCCGGTTTTTATTGTACCCGAATTGACAATATTTACGCTGAAGTGAAATGCACAAGCGGTAAATGTATGGGTGATTTATACAGGATTGCACATTTATCGATTGATCTAGTGACTTTCACGATATTCGAAAAATGATTGCAGAGTAAATGAGAGTAGTTTACCATAAAAACAAAGTATACGGTTATAAATTAAATACAAATATTATATGAATATTTATGATACTCCGGCAATTGAGTCAGAATAAGTATATAAATATAATCCCCCAAATTAGCTGTTGTTAATATTATTTCTCTTAGGTATGAGTACTCAGGTGAATACCTATTGATGTAGCATGATCTTATCCATGTTATAGGGTATGTAGAAATTAATTGTAACATTTTACCTCATGCTTTAGGCAGGTGCAATTTCTAACGCCCTTCGAGTTTGTAAGGATAATGCTATGGACGACCAGCTTTTCTATTTGGCAATCCAGAGTCAAAATAGTCAAGATATGTTAGACGTCGCTACATACTTTGAGAATGAAGGCGAAAAACAACGCGCTGTCACACTCTATCAGGTAACACTGTATTATGTATGGGATAGTTACTGAGTGAGTGTAACCTAAAGACAATTCCCAAGTAAGAAAAAGCCTAATTATATTTACTGCAACAAATATTTATGTTTCTTATACAAATATATTGTATTTTATCCATATAAAAAGGCTAACCATCTTTAGAATAGGGGTAACGTCAAGTGACCTCCGTTTTATTTTGAGATCTTTCTCTTTTAACTTTTGCACATCCTGAAAATGGTCGTCTGTGGTGATAGTGTCTTCTTGAATTAGGTATTTTTTGCGGATGGCGTAGAGGCAATGTCATTGGGAACCAGATTTTCAATTCTAGGCCGTATGTACATAAACTGACGTGTTTGCGTATTTTTAGTTTTTTTTTTTTCTGCTGAAGACTATAAATAACGACACTTTTAGTTTTATTGGTTTGTTTAAGCAAGATAATAACGTTTTGGAAGTTCCTCACATGTCTGAGAACAACGTGTAATTGATCGTAGCTAAGCACAGGTACTTCGAAAAGGAGTAGAACGTCTTTTGTTGTTTGTTTTTGTGCTTTGTTAATTTTCACACCTGAGTATGACTCTAGTGGAAATCGACAGCGGTGTAGTGTGAGGCCGTTGTCTTATGAAAGACTGAGAGTGACACTCAAAAGCATGGCAATGTGGCCCTTGAATCTATAGGTGGTAAATTTTTCGGCAATAATATGACTGTATATATCATGAACGATCATTATTGTGTTGCTGCAAAGTTTAGGAGGATCCAAGTTCCTCATTAAGGTGATCAGCGGACCCTTTTGTAGTTGCAAGTTACGAAGAGGGAAGTTGTCGAAGAACTGTATTGCAAAGTATGTCGCGTTTGCCGTTGCTTGACCGAACGAATTATATTTGATAAGATTTCCGCCTGAAAATATTGTCTATAATCCTGTCCTCGTTTAATCGGCTATCATGTATTCCGGCTTGTCTTCATAGATGTGACCCTTCACTACAGGCCTCTTCGGTATCGGCACTGTTATCTCACTTGACTACTGAGCGAAAAGTTTATTTTTACTGCGTACACCATAGAGCGGCCAGCCTCGTCTAATAATGCGCCATTTGTCTCAGACGTGGGTGTTGTCAAACTAAGTAGATCTGCTAATTTTGAATTGTTTTCTATGGTACATACTGTATTATCTTTGACACGAATGGAAACTCCGAATTAGGAGTCCGAAATCTGGCTTCCGGGCACCAAAAGGACGGCGATGTCCGATGATGCTATTGCAATTATCATATTTCCGTGCCCGGGTACTTTGGCTAGCTTCAAATCGATCACGAAGAGTTCACCTACCCTTCCTGGAGTATCGGTGAGGATTATTGAGCCGCTGTATTTGATTAGACAACAAAAAAACATCAATCAAAATTCTCTTTCTCAGTCGTTTAAAATTTAATTCTCAAATCAAGTTAAATCTCATTCTGTTCATAATGTCGTGTTGGAGTCCCTGCAGAATTTTGTTTTCTTAAGGTTGATATTTATTATTATGAGCAGGTAAAATTGCTATATTTAACTTGAAAGTATTTAAGAACTTTATTGTGATGAATTTTAGCTATAGCGAGAGTCACGTTGCTCTTCGACAATCGGTTGTTGCGATGATGGCCTTAAGTTCCATCATTATTATTACTGGATTTTTGAGGAGGTTCTGTTTATTTAACAGATTGGTTACTTCTTTCGTCATCAACATAATTAGGAATAGATTTTGAACCTCGTGAGGCATTTGCGTTTACCCAACATTCTTTATAGATTTTTGCAAGTAGTCATCTTTGAGCAAACTTGTTTGAATGTAGCAGCTTACCCAACGATCTGCATGGATAGATACGCAAAAGTATATTTTTTAATAATAGGTACTCTAATTTGAAACTTCTAGTCGTTCCTTATGTTTGACCCACCTATAGAATTTCGGTCCGTCGGCGTAGACCAAAGTTTTTGCAAGGTTATCCTATTTGCAAGAAGCCATGAATAATAACAACAACATTATTTGTCCTTTTTTTTTTCGATATATTGTGCAGACGCGTTTTTCATGCGAAAAAAGTACTTGTTAGTTCTGAGATAGATGTAGATGCAGTCGCTTTATGGGCAGATATCATGCACGAATCGTTCAATGTCGACCGTCGCCATGATGTTCGATCTCCTCTGCCTTAGAAGTAGCTTTTCCGCGTTCCTTAAATTAATATACCGTAATAGATTTAATTGCAATCGATGGTCTTCAGAAATTAGACACTGTATGTTACGACCCACTAAAGCCTAAGCGCATGATGTTTATGCTATTTGTTCTCTTTGTAACCTACCAAACCTTTTCTCTACACAGAAGGTCGTAGGTGTAGCGGAATATGTGGCTCGGTTAACTCTTTAAGCAATTCCCATCTTTTAGGACAGATCAGACAAAGTGAATCAGTTGTATGATACAGGCCACGACTAAACGTAAAATTCTGGATCTGGATTAGAGACTTTCACACTCGTAGTTGAGGTTTGGTGTCTTCATTGAGCCACAGTAGAAAATGAACATGCGCTGGTCATCTTTTTTCGTATTTTATGACTGCCAAATAAGCAACAATGTCGCCGAATTTTTTTTATATGTTATTTTATAAAAAGGTTTTTTTTTTTTTTTTTAGTTAAAACACTGTTTCAGTTAAATGTGGTTGCTTTTCTAGTCGTTAATCTTCAGTAAAGTGGCTTACATTTTGCTTAAGTGGCTTACAGGGCGCATTGGCCATCGCCGTCAGGTATAGCGACGCATTTTCATAAGTGTCAATGTATCTGCGTAGATGCCATGATCCGCTTGTGAACGAAAGTGAAGCGCTTACTAACGTCTGCGAATTTACATAGTTAATCATAGAAATTTTCGGTTATTTTGAATATCGGATATATTTTCAGACCTAATCTTTGCAGCCATACCAATGAAAGAAACTGGAAATATGATTGAATCGACCTTTGCAATGTCGATGCACATATCGAATCGAGATTGATAATCCAAAAATGATCTGCAAATCGCTCGTCTGTCGATTTGGTCACTTTGTTTACGGGGATTATCTTGGTACCATAGGAAATGTGTCATAGTATTACACTTGATTCTGTTGCATTTTGAATAATCCTACCTCGTTGCTGCACTGTGCGCTTGTTCGTACTCGTCTAGTCGTGATCGATCGGGATCAGTAAGGATATGAGCTCATGATATACATTTTGACTGTTTTTAGATAGCGTAAGAAATGTGTCTCCAAAGTACCCTTGTAAGTCTTCAACGATGGCACAAACTTTCTGGATGATTTAGAAGGTACAGATGGTGTGCAATGCTGGATTTAAATAAATAGAGTAGAGTTCACCAGCTTTTCGATGATGATACAAATTGAATCTTGTAACTTATGGATTGCATTGTTGGCTGACCTAGGTAACAGACAGTACCAGGCATTTAGGGAACCGCTGGCTCGAGTAATTCGAAAACATTTAAAAATTAGGCAAAATTGACCCACAGTTATATGCTAAATTTTCTAAATACAAGGTCTATAGAAAGCGCACCTTCAAAAATTTCTCTGGTACTAATGGGTAAAGGCGCAAATTTAAGGAAAAAAAGACTTGTTTTATCTTGTTCTCCAATACAACGCATGCAGTATCAAGAAAGACATCATTACGTTTTGCCTTTACTGCATAAGAATAAATTTAGTTGTAGGGAATGCGCGTTGTGTAATCTACGTAAAAACATCTAAAAAAAAAACCTTACAAAATTAAAGAACCCTATGTATTACGTTACATAGCCTATGTGCACATAACGAAAGAGCATATATATAATATTACTGCTACCACTAGTGAAAGCATTCGATATTTTAGTATAGCCAATTAATTCTAAACGAAGGTGTTTTTTTGTTTAACAGAAGGCCGGTTGGCTAGAGAAGGCGCGTGAGTTATCTGGAGATTCAAGAGTCAGTATAGGTGAGGAACTTCTTGGTCAAGTAGCACAAGAGATCTCAGCCTCAAGCGATGCTGCTGAAGTGCAAACCGCAATAAGACGCCTCATCGATATGGGGCTCACGGATCAAGCCGTGGAAATTCTTGCACTCAACGCGCAGGCCGAGGCTGCAATGGATCTCTGTGCACAATACGATGTGGAACTCAGTGAGCCTCTTGCTGACAAAATGCTAAAGGGTGTCTACGGTGATGCTCGGAGAAGACTATTGATCAAAATAGCTGATTTCTGCCTAAAACAGAAAAGCTTTTACTTAGCTGCAAAAAAGTATACCGAGGCCGGAGATAAGCATAGCGCTATGCGTTCTTTAATTTTAAGTCAAGACACAGATAAGGTGGGTCTAAGTAAATGAGCATTGGCTCAAAACTTCATTAGTTTATATGACTTATTTCTGTTCTCAGTGAAATATATATGCTATGAAAATCTGACATAGCCTAATGTACTATAGACTGTACTAAGCTGCTACGTTGGAACATATTCACATTTAATTAAATTCGTTTACCAAAGTAAAGTATTGTTTTAACATATATCAATGAAAGGCTAGTAATATTTCAATAATATAAATAGAACATTGCACCTGCCTTTTCAGGTCATACTACTTGCTCAGGCATTAGAAGATCCCGAAATATATATCCAAGCCGCGAGCTATCTGCAAACGCTCAACTGGCGGGCCCAACCGGCTATAATGCGACACATCATCGAGTACTATTCGGCAGCCGGCGACCTCGAAATGTTAGGGAACTTTTATGAAAATTGCGCGGTCTCCGAGATTGTGGAGTACCGAAACTATGAAACAGCACTAAGCGCCCTAAATGAAGCTTACAGAGTCCTTAAGGATGCTCCGATCGGTGAGTATGTTCTTGCTTCTGCTATTAACAGTTAAGCTGAATAATACAAAGATACTATTACGAAATGCAACACAATTTTTTTTACGATACTTATAAACACAAACAGTCGTAAACACAAACCCTCTTTAGGAAATCGTTAATCTATGCTTTACTGAAGTTGGCCAATACGCACATTGTCGGTTCGTCCTCTAGTGTCAAGGACTAGGAATAAAGCTCTCCACTTCCTTTCAGTGGCACAAAGCTGCAATACATGCAGTGGTTTATAAGCAGGCCTATATATTCCAGAAGATCTATAACAATATAAAATAAATATAACTGAATTTGCAGAAAAGACAAGTTAGTTGATGTTTTTAACATTTTAGGTACTGCCTCGAGTAGCAAAATAGACGGTTTGAGACAGAAGATTAAGAACGTGCAGCAATTCCTCAAACTGAAAAAGGTATATGCGGACGGCGAATTACGAGAAGCTTTGGAGAAAGCCCAACAAATGATTAAAGAAAATAATGTGATCGTTCGCAAAGGTGACATTTACGGATTCATCATAGAGCACTACGTCGACAATGGCCAAATGAGGTACGTCGCTCATTACGTACTATCTAAAATTAAGCTTGCCAGACAGAACCCTAGTTCAAGTAGTCAAGTGGATAGAGGGCCATGTGCTGGCTGTAGTGCCTGAAAAAGAATAGGCCGTTCTGTTGACAGGAAAGAAAGTAAAGGCTTTTGGATATCCACTGAGGACATAAAATTGCTATTGAGTTCAAGTTTATAAGTCAAGTTCCTGCAAGTTATTCTACGCTGATTTATGACCTTCTTAGTGTTGTGGACAGGAACCAAGAGGTTACTCACGATCGTGCCCGGCTCGTGTTGAAACAGAACAAATATCATTAGCTTGCTACTGTGTTTGACCCTCTCATACTTCATATGCGGAGCATTGTGGAAAAAAGCCCTCAGCGAGGTAAAGAGCACACAGCTTCTACTTACAATCAGGATGTATCTAACGCGCAACCCGATTGCAATAGCGGAAGCACTATGCGTTCTAATATCACTTGTCTTATAGAAACACTTACTAAAAGGGGGAAAACTTCTGTGTGAGCACTTTGCTTTGCGGATTGAAGCAGAAACTTTTAAGCCACAGCAAGAGGAATGCAGATACGCCGCGGGCACTGACGCCGGCGGCCAGTGGATTCAGAATAATAGTACCTTGGCTCAAAAAAAATCAACAGCAAAGTTACATACCGCACGAAACCTAACATTCTTAAAAGTTCTTGTGCAATTGCCAAGCCAATATATTATCCGTGCAGTGTGGGGGGGATCGACAGCTCAAACCATGCTGTGCTAACCCTCTAAGAGTTAGACGGAAGGGACCGAACAGTAGAGAAAATCTCCACAAGAGAGCTCATGGGGGCATTATAGCCTTTATGGCGGAGAATAAGAAGTAGGTCGCGGCAGGTGTCTGACACGAACCGCTGCACAAGCATACGTACATAGAGCCAGGCGCAAATAATATAATGAGGAATTAGCATAATTAATATAAAGATCTATTCTAGTCTGTCAGAAGACGGCGCATAAGAATAGATCCTTCAGAACGAATCTATAATATCAATTTTGGGTTGGTGAATATCTTAGATTAGACTAGTGAGTATCTTACTCATGAAGGTCGTTGTCCACTATGAATTTTCCCTTCGAAAAAGAACATTTTAACCAAGTTTAGGTAAAAAATCAATAAGTTTATAGGTAGTCATATGTGGAAAATTACGAATAAACTTTGACGATTATTTTGAAATGCAATGTTTTCATTTAGCCCTCACCAACCTTAACATAGCGTAGAGAATAAAACTCATATTTGTAATGGTAACCTATATGTTTTTTGACTGAATTTCGAACAGGACCGCGTTGCGAAAATTAGAGGAGATGGAAGCCGATTGCGGGGGTAGCGCGAACACGTATCTTGATGAACAAACCCTCGCCAAGATTTTCGCCTCTACTGGAGGGGGTTTCTCTGATTTAAACGGGACCCCCGAAGCCAGCGAGAGTATAGCAGCAAAACAGAATGGGAGTGTGAAACATGCCGATCAACAGGAGATATGGACGGCTCAGTAACAACTTATTGATTGGCACGACAGCTATATCACCGCCAATTGAATTACATATCATTATTGGGGCATAGACTTGTAGTAGAGAACAGCAATCCTGTTTACTCATTGAAAACAAGAAAAAATGTGCAAAAAAGCGTATTATGTTTATTTAATTTTTTTTTATTAACATCTTTCGCGATTCCTTTATTAATTAAATAGTGAAGTTCCGTTTCCTTTACAATTTACCTTTAATGCGTGCTAGTAATACGAAGGTTGTAAGACTTGATAGTAGAAGCCGTTGTACCTCACCAGCTATTGTTCCCTGGAAGATGCTTTATTTTTCAAACCTTAACACGCGCATAGATTGAGCGTATAAATACTTACAGCTGCAAGGTTTTGTAGAAGTAGCCTGGTTATCAGTAGGTCACATTGTCACCAAAACTATATTAGAATTACGCATTATAAGAGAGGAGTTTTATCTTTTTATTGCTGACAGAAATATATTCTCGTTTCAAAAAAATTCACACACTGATTTTATTGTATATTTAAGCTGACTATATACTAAGCGCTTGAACTACGAGGTCTAACTGCGGTTGACTTACAACCAAATGCCATATAAATTTTCATGGCATTTTACATTATATGTCAAAATAAATTAAAAAATTCTAGATGTTTACAGAATTGAAAAACATCATATGCTCCATTGTAAACACTTTATAAATGAAATAAGTCTACAGCTGAGTATATATACGAAAACAACACCTCAATGTCGTTCTGCGATCTATGAATGTCACATATGCGAAAAGCTTGAATAGTTTTTAACTTTTTGTAAGTTCTCTCAAACGAGACAGGACAAAGCTCAACAATAGTCATCTGCAAACAAAGCTTGAAAGCTTTCGAAAAAGTGTATAATTTTTCAGATTGTTGCTGTAAATCACTTTCATTGTAATGATGAGATTCACGAGAAAAACATTGATCCGATCTTCACTGTCGGCACCTTCCTTATTGTAGCGGTTGATGATATAACCATAGTTGATGAATGGCTTTTGGCACTGCTACCCATGCATATTTTCACCCCTTAAAGCTTAGCCTAGATGTATTATGTGGGATCTAATTCAGATAATGGCAATGGCAATTTCAATATAAAATATTTGCATTTTAAAGCTGTTTTGCTATTAAAAATGAATACAAACAAGTAACAGAATTGATTTTGTTGAATCAATAAACCAACACTACGAAAAACAATATCGACTTTTAACTTCCTTATCCCTGTAACCTCCTTGAAAGCAAACAACTACGTATGTACGAATTTAAACCATCCCTATCATTTGATTGCCTAGGCAGTATTACGTTATTGGCTTTAACCCAGAAATGGTTTTCTGTGGTAATTTCTAGGCGTCAGATTGAATACAGGGTTTTTGATAATAAAGAAAATTTATGTGAAAGGATAGTTAGAGATTTTAAATAATTCTAATCAGTAAGCAACCAATTTATTCATAAAAAAAAAATGTTACTTGAAAGAGATCAACGCAAACAAGTATCTCCGATTAGATTTCTTTCATTAGACGTCTTCATAGCCGCGTTCCGCTAAAGTCTATATTAATGCAGCATGCAATCCATCGTTTTTTTTTATTTTTAGTCATTTAGTGAGCTACGTCGCTAGTGAACGACCAGTGTCTTTGTAAAATGAAAAACTTTATTATATACGGTTAAAGGACTTATACATCAGTTTACAACTTTTGCAAGAGGATTTCTGCTCCCTTGCTATCCTTCTGTTGAGCAATTTCACACTTGTCCTTCGCAAGGACATTCTTTGCCCACTCCTGCACTTCAGGATCTTTCACCTCTATCAAGCTAATGCACAGAAAGGCTCCGCGGTTGCACTTCCACCAAGAGCGGATTACATCTGCTCCAAGCTCCTCTTTAACAAGAAGAGAAAGCTCCGCTTTATCTTTGTTTTTGTCGTTTAAAAGAAGCTTTTTGATGAAAAAATTACCATGTTTACTCTCAATGATATGATTGGTATCCTTCTCATAAGGCTTCTTGAGTAAATTAACTACGCGAGACATAGCTTTGAGCCGAAGTTCCTGCTCCATCGCGAGAATGATGTCCCTGACTGCTACAGAAGTTTCTCCCGCATCGATAAGCTCCTCAAGGTGATCACAAATGGTTTCGATGAGAGGCTGCTGTGCAAGTCGACGTAATTCTCTGCGCCGAATCTCGGGTTCCTTCTTCGAGCTTTCGTTCTTATCCCCCTGTTTTAAAAGTTCGATTGTGTCCGGGCTGATAGTGTGTGGGTCTCGACCAACCATGAGGTACACAAGCACTTTAGAGCCAAATTTATCTTTGAGAAGGTCCGCGCAATTCTTCATTAACTCGACGATAATTGATTGATTGAGCATAACAGTATCGTCAACGGCATCAAAGAGCCCCATCAACACCTAAGAAAACAAAATATTGATAAAATCACTAGTAAAACGAAAGCTTTTCACTGACACAGTTTCATCAGCAGTATTATATCTGTGCTAAAGTTTTCTAGAATGCCACTGACTCTCAGTTTCCACTCCCAGTATACTGAATTACCCAGGATCTTCACCGTGAAGTTTTGCTATGGGGGGTCATCTAAGAGACGAACCAGTACATAATAGGGCCCACGAATAAGCCGCGAAATCCCCTAAAATTGTGGAGTGTCAGCCCCAGTGTAAAATGCTTTTATTGCAGGATGTTGCCAATTGGGTCTACTGCATCAGTAAGATATGGAATCATACTATGAAATTCTTATAAGTGATGAGACATGCGAGACGTTCGTTTGTTATAGTTTTGTTATTATGAATACGACCGGTTGTTGTTTAGTTAGTTAGAGCCGATCCTCTTTGCACACATAAGGTCGCTATCCTATGAAGTACGGTAAAAAAAAAAGGGAATTTCTATATGAAAAATCCTTTTATATTTCAGCGCGAGTTGAACTCATGCCGCACTGTACAGTGCACTCTACCGACTAAACCATTCCACTCGGTTACACTGTACCAGTCATCAAATAAACTCATTCGAACGTACCAAAAACTAAGTTCTCTACGGCTACAACAATTCTACAGACTAACTAATTTTATAAAGTGTTTAACCTCTTTCCGCTTCCGTGCCAATTATACCACTTAATCGGGCGGAGTAAAATTTGGTAAAATAAAAAAAAACGCTAGGTTTTCTTCAAAATTCTGATGTTAACTTAAAAGCGTAATCTAAGATGAGTAAAGTTAAAAATATTTATTATATATATCCATAAAATTATGTAAACTATCTTATAAATACCGTAAGTAAAAAATACCCTTGCTGATACGAATACGTTAATAACGCTTTCAGCACCTTAAAGTAATCTAAATAATTTTCAAACCAAATCAGTTTCGAAAAGAAGTGAAATTACGCCTATCGTCCAGACACGTCCACTTTAATTTCCATTTTGCATGACTGTAGCAATAAATGCCGAAAGCTTTCAACTGGAAACAAAGGCTGGCATAAGCCTTGAGTTCATTCTAATGAGCAAAACAGCCATTTTTGTTAGATTTGTGATCGGCGAGATAAATACTGTTGGCCACTATATATTCCAAGTAAAAAGGCCACTTCTATAAACTGCAAACAACGACTACCCGCCAACCACCGTGAAGATGAACAATTTATTATATTGGTACGATTGATTCAGCCTTGTGCCCCTGTCCCACGTACCTTGTGCCCCTGGTCATCGGTAGCGATTTTCATGACGTAAGGCTTGAAACTTTTTGCAATCGCTTTTCTTTCCTTGGCAGTTGAATGCCATAAGCTCTGAAGCGCCACCTGCATACCTTCTTTTGTATGAAGTATTTCCACAAGTATGTGCTGTATTTGACGGATCATATCTAGCCGTTCGGTGTTATCAACAAGAACCTCAAATAACTGGTACAATAGCAGGTGATATAGACCATACTTAACGACGCCTTTATCCGTCAACTTAAGAAGCATGTCCTGCAACAAACAGAAAACGGTAGCGTTTGAGCAATATAATTAACTTATTTATAATTGCTTCTAAAACAAAAAATGCAACTTGAAATGGTATTAAATTTAATCACTTTCCTACATTTTATCTATTTTCAGAAATATTTATAATTATGCGCAACACGTCATAGTTATACATAAAAGGTTTAAAACTTGCGACAACAGGCTTCAAAAATAACAAAAGTAAGTTTATTTATATCCTAAAAGACCGTTAGCATTTGGTTAGTGTCCATGATGTTTGCTAATGCTGAAACATAATATAGCTGACACTGCTGCACCAAGTTCATCTCTGGACACAGACTTAAGCTGTTTTCAGGCAAAACGTATATTCATAGAATATCCGCATACTAACGGTGTGTGAGATCATTTGCTGAATATAGGTCTCTTTTCTGACAGAGCAATGGTGTGTAAAACGAAGTTAGATAGATAATTATTCCAGTACATCGGGCTTTATTTTTCTTAGTTTGATTCTGACAGTGGAAGTGTTAATGAGTTTGATGTCGTACTAGAACATAACGCTGTCTTGATTATGTCAGTCCTTTTAGACAGTATAGTCTGAGACTGCGCACAAAGTCTGAATGACGATCGCTTAGTATTTCGCTCTATCTGACAAAAAAAAGTATCCTTCAGGCGCATGTGATCATATTAACGAAAGCTTTTAAATTCAACTTCCATTGATAATAAAAAAAATGTTTACTTAAAAATCGGGAGCCTTTCTTCATCAAGCCCGAATTATGGTTAAGACACGGTAAAGGTTGTGGCATCTCGAGAATTTTCCTTCCTAAGTTTTGAGCTAGTTAAACTAGTTATCAAGCATTTACTAGCATCTTGAATACTGCTACGATCTTGGCCACAATACGGTCTTCCTGCGTCACGAATTATTTGACATATTTTTGCAACGACTCTGCAACGAGGGCAGTATTTTGTCATTCTGAGCATGGTTTATCTTCATGGTTGAAACTAGCCCCCATCTAACTAATTAAGTTCTCAACGATTTCGCACTGCCTTGAAAACTGCTTGAGTTTGCTCAGTTAACTCCCGTCTGAGTCCATTACACCTTTTAGGAAAATTGACGAGGCTCCTGTTAGCCAAACGCTACTACACGTCTGCACTTGAAACTTCACACCGAAGGTGAGCGTAGTTTTTTGCAACTGTCTAGTCTTCTGAAAAACGCTTCTCTTATCGACATAATTACTAGGACATGCCTATACTGGCAACGTGTAGAGCATTCTAATACTTTGACTGGTATTTGTAACAATCAACACTTGTCAGGTACAATACTCTTTAAGCTTAAAAATAGATAAATGCAAAATACACCAACAAATGCATATATGTAATCCCTTTGCGTACGAACCTTAAATTCTGCAAGCATTTTCTCACTGGCAGTTTTCTCGGTACACTTTTCGTAGGCCGCTTTAAACGTGGTTGCGTCTTCACTTTTGAAATACGTTAGCTGTCTTGAGTAAAATTCTTGTGCCATTTCCGCCCGCCTTTTTGTATTACAAAAGTCATTATACAAAGCGGATATGATGTTTGCGGCCTCTTTATGAAGAAATAACTCTACAACACGTGTCTGAACCGCTTTGTAGATAGCTTCTTTATGACACTGGCGACCATGGCGCAAAAATGCCAAAATAACATTTTTAGCATATTTGCATTTGGCATAATGAATAATCTTTTGTTGTAGTTCCTCAAAAATGGAGTTCTTAATCTCGTGACTGCCGTTTGAATATAGGCATTCTACGACACGCGAGGTGTCATGCGCCTCGATGATGTTGGTGATTCTACCTTTAAGCAACTGATGTAACTCATCGGCAATTTTATATTTCTCCTCCGAACGTACGTCGGACCGACGGAGCTTCTCCCAAAGCTTCTTCGCATCCAACTGCAGTTGATAGAATTTATTGTCTTGTTGACGACGTATCTGAAAATAACGATTTTGTTTATATCGTACCAATACAAAATATTAACAATAATAACAATATGCAGACACCGTCTGTACAAATGGTCAAAACAACCTCATTGATTTTTAGAAAATCTCTCATTAACTTAGATAAAGGTTGCATAATCTATTAGAATTTGCCAAATAAAAATGACTCGTTTACCTTTTTTCGCTCTTTTCGCTTCACCTCAAACAATTTGCGCTTATTGACATCCTTTTCCTTGCTTGCGGTTACACGTTTGTATTTTTTACCCATATACCCCGTGTTAAACGGTTTTTGTTTTTTGAACATTATTGCTTGCTTGACACCATCCATCTTGGCCACTTTAACTGGAGGGGCATCATTCTCATCTGTGGTGCGGCTCTTCGCTTTTCGAGGCATTAGGACTTTCCCTGTTTTCCCACTATGCGCCGATTGCTAATGTTTATATCACAAAAAACACCAGAGAACATCACTAATTAAATGGCCGTACAATTTGTTACCATGCCAACGAAATCAGATATTTTAAATATTTAATGCCGTTTGAAGAGGAAATAACAAAATTATGGTACAAATCTGACTTTTAGAGATAACTGCTTACGTTTTGCAAAGATTTCTTTGTCTTAATTTTTCCTTCGTCGTCCATTCACCTTGTTCAGGGATTATTCAGACTAAAAAGAGTACACCGTAAATCACAAGAATTTTATGAGAATATTTAAAAAGACAACCAAGAGAATAAGTAGAAGTCGAGAACGTATAATTGTCAAAACCAAATCTTGTAAAGCTTGTTATTATTATTAACCGATGTATTAACACAGTAATTTACGTAGAATAGATGTTTAAAAAATACTGTATGATGGCTGCACCTCGTACCTCAGAACGCGAACCCGACTTGCACACGTGCAGTTGGTAGTGGACAATTTGTTTACAAACAGAACACCGTACGCAAGCCTTTGTTTGAATAGAATTTCAAGTCCATATATCATAGCTTACGTACTGTGCCAGTTACACACTTTTATATATTAGATACAACTATTGCACCGTGATGACCTCATTACGCAGATTTTAGGCAGGCTTGCCTAGTTTTCTGACATGCTGCGAAACGGGACGGGACCATAAACTGTCTGCTACTGGTGGCGCGATATTTAAATTATGGAACGTCTAGATCAGCTGCTAGGTTTGCCTTGGCAATGTCATTGAAAATATGAGGAAAATGTGGCAGATTCGATTAACGAGTCTTGTTTAAATGAGGCTGCTAGAAAGATGAGATGCAAAATATTCCTGAGGTATTTGAAATGTATATGTATGTAATTGTATAAATGGACTCCTAAAAATAAGTTGTGGCCGTGAATGTGTCAGCTAATGAGAACAATCATTAGGGTAGGTGAAAGTGCATATAGTATATTTATATTAAAAAAATTCTGGCTGTACATAGTTTTATTCTCTTCTTTATGGAAAGCGGGTAATTAGATCTAGGTAATTCGCATAGAATATATATATATATATACTTAATTTTTCCTTCGAAAGCACTACCGACGAAGCAAGGAAGGTCCACAGGAAGGCCAGCTGCGCGAATTTTTTTGCTTTTTTAAAAACTTTTAAACGTCAGCTTAAAACTTAAAACGTTAGCTGTACCGCCGCATTAGTTTTCCTTTAACACATATTTACTCTAATTAAAATTCAACTTGTTGTACAGTAAAAAGTTAATAATCAGTAGACATTTCGCAAAAATAGGCAAATCAGTCTTCTCTTTTATTTATGTAAATTCGTGCAATATATCATAACATCGGTGTGTGGTTAAATATATATTATATATATATATTTTTTTTTTGGTAAAGTATACTTTTAATTAGTAGGCAACGAGTTACAGTGCCAAACACATTGTTGCGTGATGATTTATGTGTTACAACAGTATTTACACAATGGCCGATTAAACGTGCAGGGGAACAGAGGTTGGCTCGGGGTTTCCTTGCATCTCATGTAACGATAGGTATGAACGTCAGTACAACAACCAAATTGTTTGCTCAATAAGTAACATGAATGTTATAACTTTAAGATGTGGGCCCTTTATCGTACTGCACGCGTGGTAGGTGGCGTTTGCCTTTTTCTGACAGCATATTTGTGTTTGGCGTTCTACAACTTCGAAGGAGATGTCGAACGGCTTCGAGCAAGACACATGACTTACGTAATGCGGCCAGAATTGAAACCATTGGTCTACACTAAAGGCTTGAAGCCTGCAGACATTGCAGGACAAAAAAATGGCGTTGTAAAAGATATTGAAAGTCAACAATCTCCTCCCGCGGTAAGTTTTCTACAACTGAACACTGCCTTTTATGTTGGTAAAAATATCATTGGTATCAATTAAGTAATAAAGACAATAATACTTGTTTATCACCTGTTTCTCTAACAGGTGGCTCGAAGGCAGCCAGTACTTCCTGGTAATCTATCAGCTCCTCATTTGTTGCACCTTCGGGTAGAATATATAGTTAAATCGTCATTGCTGTCATCGATCGTTTTTGAAAATCTACATGATCCTTACGAGGCGGACCACGTTTTACGTGACTATGAAAGTAAACTTATTAAAGCTCGTGGTAAACAGGTAAGATTACTGAATTCAAGACTCCAGATATGCCATTCTGGTATTTTGTAGAAATATAGCTACCTTTATTGAAAATATAAGGCCTACGTTCTCTATATCTCTGGCCAGAAAAGCTGATTCAAGTCTGGCAAAGCGACATAACTATGCATGCATGAAGTAACAGAAGATTAAGTAAATATTATAGTTCCGCACAAAACGATCTAAAGACACTTTAAAGTTGAGAAAACAGATTTACTTAAAAAAATATGAGTATTCTCAAGTTTTTTTTTAAACTTGGCTGTTAGTGTACCTAAAGTACATTTTAAGCTGAATTTAGCAAACGTCAGCATTGTAGTTTTTACTGCACTACCATATACGACTTCGGTATATTTTTTTAAGCATTTGTTCCATTGAGGTTTTTGCTGACTATATCAAACAAAAAGATTGAAGATTTTAGTGATATTTGGGTGGAAATCCGACTCAAAAACAACAGTATAGTAGAAACAATATATCGACTTCATGTGCCAAGTGGTAGTGGTACTTCTTTGAACAACAAATTTCGAAGATACTGCGTACTTTGTTTCGGCTAATTTTTACAATGGCCATAAATCAGAAGCGTTGCTAAGCCTGTACTTACACTAATAGCAACCTTGACTGCATTGCGTACAGATTTACAATTACGATGAGCTACCTACCCACTCATTGTAATTATTGTAAAGATAGTGATTTACAAAAAGGTGGAATAGATAAATGTCTCTACGTTTCGATATGCTTAGCTATACTTCCTATTACTAGACATACACACAAAGCTATCACACGTAGTATTGTAACAATGGACATTTTATCGTGAGTATATTTGGTTATATAAATCGTACAATAAGAACGCCCTCTGGAGTACGGCGGTATCTCGCGCGATATGATAAGCCGAATCTATCATATCCACAAAAATTGAGACCAGGACATTCGTACTCAAGTCATTAAATGAAAAAAAGAATAGTTTGATAGATCCGAAAGGATGCTCTGGAAAAAACAAAGACAAGGATAACATCAACAAACGCTATTAGCAATTACTTCGTTAGGGAAATCAAATCTTTAAAGTTCCCGAAAAAAACATTTCTATAACCTGTCTGAAATAAATGTTTGCAAAACAGGACTTACACTTGATTAATTGCAACGACCTATTGCGCATGATAATCATTAGGCGGACCATATGGATGCAAACAAATGGAAACTTGCAGAATCTTGGGTACAGCCTCAACACGGAATAGTTCCCCATCGAGTACCAGGTAACCTTGGTGAAGTGTTACGTGAGCTAAGCACAGCGGACATTCTGACGGCTGATATCGCTACCAAGGGTACCCAGTTAAAGCTTCTTCTCACCCTACGGGGTGGGCAACAAGCACTCTTCAAACCAATGTTGTTAGTATACAACACATTTACATTTACTCTCACTCGCTTTTTCTAAAAATTAATGATAATTGTTAGTATATTTCTATTCAACATATGCCACTTTTTAAGTACTTGTGATACCAAAAACGCTCAATAACTGTGGGCATCCTTTTACAGTACTGGTCCTTAACCCTGAAGTGCTTCATTTTTCACTAAACATAGATTAGTTGACACTTTAGACCTTCTACCTTCAGAGTATTGTTTTCCCGTTTCTTGTTCTTTTATATCTCGTTCCTAATATCGACCTGTTGGCGGCCTTAAAATCGACTCCAAGAAACTAATCGGTTATTGAAACTCTTTCACTCCGTATGTGAATCGATGAAAACGCGGTTGGGATCAGGCAAAAACAATGTTATCTTTCACCGTGAACTGTTTAAATAAATTGTGTGATGTAGGAAATTCCGAAACATTTAGATTTAAAGCTTCTTACTTATTTCAAAATTAAGTACAAAAGAGCTACTCACAAAAAGGCGTTTTCAAGATTTTTGTGAAATTATTTTTACAATTTAGCAGTATATAAAACTTAAATTCATTCAAATAAAAAAGAAAGGTTATTTAATTGTTAAAAAAGGTTGAAGACAATTCTATACTGTTTACAAACAAATAGATATGTTACGAGAAACGCTTTTTCAAACAGATTCCTTATTAGAACGATTATAAGAGAATCATTGCTTTGTTCACTTGGTTACTAATACAATTCGCGGCACTGAAAATCTTAGAAAGGGCTGACATAAAGATATCGTTCCAATTTGTCATGAACTTTCTTTAGTAATAGATGCGTGAGGTTCATATCATAAGAAATAACTCTGATTTAGACGGTTTTCAAGAGGGCACCAAATCCTTTAAGTCAACTAAGCGGATCGTGATGCTTAAAGCATTCGCCAAACCATGCATTTACTCGGTAAAGGTAATTTTTACCAGGGATGGATATCAAAAAGCCATATATGTTAATGCTTTCGTACCCCTAGAGAATAATTTTTAACATCATGTCAGCGAATAATCAGAAACACGTACATATTAAAACATTAAGAATGAGCCTTATTACCTACAGTTATCCGCGGACTCACATAATCCGCGACGGACCATTTGCGGGATCGGACCGACATAATGGAGAAATCGTAGCTTTTCACCTCGCAGGATTACTTGGGATGCATCGAACACCAATTGTCGCTGGGAGACGAATCAGCCTTGATGAGATCCGAGGGAAAAGCACACCTGCACTCAATACTACTTTTTATAAAGAAGGTACGCATGTTTACGTTGTATACTTTTATGCACTTCATATTTATTTCCGGTCACGCTCAAAATAATGTTATTCTATCAATAAACAGGTATTTTGTAATCAAATATTTAAACACATATTGTTACTGCAACTATTGCTAGCAGAAATAGTTTTTCTTCTTATAGAATGCCTAATGGCGGTTCCATATGTCAGACTTGAAACATTTACTTTTAGTAATGTTAGTAGTATTAACATAGCTATCACGAATATGTAGTGCTGTAGCGATGCGCGGTGACGTTGTTGTCTCGAAATCTGAAAGACACTCGCTCAGTGATCTGAAAGATCTGAAAGAGTCCCGCCAAAGGTGAAAATAATTTATATGCAGATTGCACTTTCCGGTACGTTGGTAGTCAGCTGTTAGAAAAGCTGCCTCAGCAGAAGCAGGCACCGCAGAATGGAAATTCACCATTTATTATAAATAGATCAGGTTTAATATCAGCACAAAACATCCAAATTCTTCAAAGTCTTTCATTAATATTGTTTTTGGATGATTTTGTACTCTAAAATTCCTTTTTTTTATCTATATAAAAAGCCTTTCTCTATTTTATACAACTTTGCCTAACGTTTGCGGAAATCAAAAAAAAAATGCGACGTAGATTTCAGCGCTAAAAATAGAAGATTAGACATTTTATGATTTTAATTCTATTCTAATCAAGAAAAACAAAAACTTAAATAAATTCGGTGTCTTTGCACCATTTGCATAATTTAAAACATTATGAACAGGACGTAGAGAACTATTAGCAGAGGAACATAAAGTGACGTGTGTAGTTCGAGAAGATATTACTTTACCATTGCATACTGGTTGGAAATAACCGATTTTAACCAAAAACATCAAATTAATATTAAGAATAATATCAATTAAATCCAGCGAATAGTAAACCTACGTGCGTATTTCCAGCACCTCTTAATCCCTTAAGATCATCACCACTTACTCAGAAAATTTATAATCAATACAGACCAGTCAACTGTTTGAACTATTTATTTTGGGTATTTACTTGCGCTCATTTGCCGCTGGAACAGCGTGCGTGCTTATTTATATGATCTTATACAGCAGCAGACGCAAGATGTTTCTAAATTCGCTTATTGCGCAGTACTCATAATGACGCTGTCTGTTTCTTAGATTCTATGTTTAGAGTGATGAATTATTTATTGCCCATCCAAATCGATATTCTCTATCACAATTTTTTGTCATCATTTTTTTTACTCATTTCGCCTCTTTATGTATGTCTTCCTTTTTTCACATACTTAGCATTTATCGTAAGTAGAACTAAAACGTACAAGGATTGGCTAGGTTAATCCTATTTATTTGAGTATAATTTTTAAATAGTGCAGACTTTATTGACTTATCCGTCGATGATAAAACTAATCACTGTTGACGGTGTCATGTTTCCAGGAAACCGAAGCTGTTTCTACGGCAAATGTTATTATTGCAAAAGAGCGAATGGAGTTTGTGGAGATGATTCTGGCCAGTTGGAGGGAGCCGTTGTTTTATTGCTACCACCAAAATTTCGCCTTCAACCTCATAGAAGTCCATGGCAAAGAACATATAAAAACGGCGTATATGCCAGGTATGTAAGGACAAGGATTATAATTGAAGTTGACGAAGCACGAGTCAACGTATCAACTTTCTCTAAAAAATGATGATCACTGTTAACTATGAGTAGCATTGCTACATAAAATTACGAACTTAACAACGAAATATTGATGTAAATTGCTAAAAATAAACTAGCAACATAACATTCTTTATGCAATTGATACTATATACTAAGGTAACCGTTCAATAGCTTTATGCTGTATGTGATTCTCCAGGATGACTGTTCTTCCTGCGTTCCTTTCCTGTGTCAAAACTAAAAGATGCTAAAACATGATTATATAAACTTACGAAAAGATAATTGAAATCTCGTTTAGCGGATAAGAATGTAGGTACATATCTGTTAAAAGTACTAGCGTTGTGCAAATGGTAAGAATGTAGTACGGTAAAATTAAACGTTGTTAAGGATCAAGTGGTGTTCGCATTTGGTCATTGTGCATAAGTAATAAGTGGTGAAAAATCATACCACACAATCGACTAGGCTGCGCAGACCTTCAGACTGCTGCAGAGTATTTTGAAGACAAAAGCTCTCTTATCAGACCGTGGTAAAATAAAGTGTAATCACTTAATACAAGTGATTACACTCTATTTTGTTGTTTTTCGAATATCTGGACTTTTCTCTTGGTGCATCAGTAATGTGACACACATAATTTCGATAAAATTACAGCAACAAATCGATTTATTATAAAATGATTTTCCATCATTATCTACGATCTATTTTTGATTTGCGAATGTGTACTGGTTGGGGTCGACCAACATCGTAAGAGGCAATGCGTGCTTACTTGTTCTTCGTGTATACGGGGTACCAAGGCTTCTAACATTTGATTCATCAATTATTTGTCGGTCATTTTTTCAACCTCGGTTTTAGGCGGTTTTCATATACCTTGGACGGCCGACCAAAAGGCGGTCGGGGTGCATCCCCAGGTCCAAGATGCCTCCTTTGAACCACCTTCTCTCATATATAGAGACCTTGCTGCATACGGCACAAATTTCTTTAGTTGTTCAAGTAGGTGCTTGACCTCGGATAAGCAGAATGAAATAGGTGTCGAAAATGTATCTTTTTTTGCTGGGAACTCCAACCTTGGGACCTGAATTTGATGAAAATCGTGTTCGTGACACAATGCACAACGTTGATATACGTGAGTCGGTTAAGCTTGAAATATGCCAAGGAAGAGTGAATGCGCTTTTTCTCCCGAGACTATTTATACACCTGACGCAAGGCTTAACGCCACTACCGATAACGAAAACCCAAAGCGTTTAATTATATCTAGCCTTCAACGTTAAACTTGAATTGAATAATACCTTTATTTATAGGAAATTACAAGTGTAACAAAAATAACTTAATAAGAATAAGCTAGTTAGTAGGTTTTCGTGTGGAATCTAATTACTCATCTTTTTTACAGTTGTTGTAATGCTAAACTACTGAAAAAGAAAAAGAAGCAATTTCTTACGCCCTCTAATCGTTTTCATAGGATCGTCTTATTGTATAGAAACCACTGCTTCTAACTAGAGAACGCTACTTGATTAGTGTCTATCATTGCAACGAGCGTTTACATTGAAACTCCGCCAGTAATTTCGCAGCTTTAGCGACTTTCCTTATACGGTAGTTTACGGTATTGGACTTTATCGATTACGATGACGATTTTCTTCATGTGTTTATTTTAACGGTTTGGCTAGCACTAAAAGTGCCTTTTTTTTTAATTTGCATGCATAGCTAGCCTTGTCTCAACTGATTACTCGTCATTTTCCCTCCTCGGCTAAGGGCTACCTTAGCTCACTTTTTATAATTTTGCTTGTTACAGGTTTTTAGATAGTATCCTGCTCTGGATTTTAGCTTTCCATGCTTGTTTAACTTAATATCAGCAAATGAAGTCGATGTGGTTATGATAGTTGCAATTTGTAATGCGTAGTTTCGAATGAATTCCAACGACGTTATAGAGGCACATAGCTGTGCATACCTCGTAACCCCGTGCATCATAAGGCCACGGTTCGAGATCATGTAGAACCACTTCGTTAGAACTTGGAATTGTATACATATTTTAAAATTTTTTTCTCGCCCCTTTTTATTCACGCCCTCTATTACTGACGGAAAGCAATAGTAATTAATAAAACGGAGTTACTTCCGTACTTAAAACACCTTATTGACCTTTTGATATGCGATTAAATCGATGCCATAGAATAACACGTTCATTTTTCTGTTTTATGTGGTCTCCATAAATTCCTTCATATTTGAGTAGCTAGATTAGCTAAATAGTTAAAACATCTCTTTGGTTTATTGATGTTATTCGTTACAAAATATTCCTTCTACAGTGCGCTCCTTATCGGCTCATATAGGATTCCTCAAAGCGTATATTATAGAATTTCATTGAAAACACTAAAGATGAAGGAAAAAGTCATAGATTTTTACAAACTGAGTCCACTATAGATCGAAATATGTGCGGTGTAGTTTAAAAATAATTTGTATAGCTGTTTTCAACAAAAACGCTTTTTGACGCACCGCGGCCATGCGCGAGACATGACTGGGTCTTCGCCGCTCACCAGAAAAGGATAAGGTGAGGGAAGGGGATGGAACAAGATAAAAGCAATGAGTGTAATGGGTATCAGAAATTGCATTTTGGCTATCCTGATCCTTGTGATGTAAGGCTAAGCGGCATTGTATAATAAAAGCTTAGCTTTGTTCACTAATCCTAGCTGCCTAATCCAGAGTTGGTTCATTATCTACTTAACAAACCAGGACTCATTGGGCTGTTATGGATAACACTTACACTAGGCACAGCTTTTATCGCTGCACATTTAACTTGACATACTGCCCCGCTGACTAGATCGCATCGACCCATTAACATGACTACCTGGGGTTATCCTAGATCCATGTTTCGTAAGACTGACAATTCGATGTGAGAATGGGTCACAACGTGAAGCCAAAGAGAAGCAGGCATTTTTACTTTTTCGCTTTTTAATTGTCGCTCGAAGTACGCGACAGCAATTTGTTTACTTTTGTACCTCATTGTCTGACCGAGGTGAACAGATATGAGATATTTAAGTATACAGACCCTAAGTGCCAACTCCCGTGCACTTTTTAGATAAGACAGCTTTTATTTCAACCTTCAACACTTCGTGTTCGCTTTCACAGGAGGTCTTCGATGAGACCCAGTTTCAAATTCAAAGAGTCGTTCCTAGTATTTTAAACTAACGGTGTGATCAGTAGCAGATCCTCCAGCGAATACAAAATTTACACGAATAGCGGCCTCCGCCGCTGTAGGTCTAAGATTAAACCTGTATTACTAAGTGGACCTGCTCATCTGCTGAAAGATGGACGGATGATATACAAGTGAACAGTTTCATTTTTAAAAAAAGTGCAAAGTACTCTAGAAACCAAATATAAAAATAATAATAATAAAAACCACGAAATGCGATATGAAATCTCAAAACTGGCGAGTTGTTCGCCCGACTGATTACTGTTTAAACTTAGAAATTGGAGGGGGGATTACGATCGCGGAAGCTACGAGCTACATGCCTGCTCCAGGAGCTGCTGCACCAGAATCGTGTTTTCGCTCAACACAACTATAAGCGAGAACCTGGGGGAAGACGCCGTTTGAGGGGCTTCTTGGCTACCTGTCCATAGTACCCGGAAAGCGTATATATATATATATATGTATATATATATATATAAATTGAAATTGCTTATGTTTTAAGCTAATGCGTATGTATGTGTATGTGCACATATACATACATATGCTATATATATACAGATATGTATATGTATATATATGTATATATAGCTGAAAACAAGAAATTTCAATTTTCTTTGCCTGAAAAGAAACACAGCAGAATTTATTCGCATTCATGCTATAATTTATTATGTATCTGCCGTTACTGCACGACTTTCTCTCATCTATTAATTTTATTCCTTCTCGCCTGAAATTTTTAGGTCTAGTGTAAAAGAACTCATCCAAACAGGTTTCAAAATTCCCGTTACTATCAGCCAAATGCACGGCTTTTAATTTAATTCGGCAGTGATCGGAAAAGGTGATAATACGTCGGAGTGAGATCCAGAAAACATGGTGGGTGCAAAAAAAACCTCTTACTGAGGCTCTTGCAAGGCGGCTGTCACAATCTTTGCCATGTGCAACCTGGTATTGCCGTGAAGAATAATTAGTTTCCTTCCTGTTGGATAGCATCGTTGCAACTAGGTCGTGCGCAGAACCACGTTAATCGTCTTGTTCTTCTCAAACACTGCACGTTTCGATCTTACCAATCGCAATATGTTGCATTTTTGGGATGGATATCTGGTTTAACTCTGGGATTGGGCAAATTTTTCGGAGCTGCTTATTCTTTTCTCTGCTTTATACGAACTTGAGGTTACCACTTCTCGTCATCGGGGTAGTAAAGATTTCGTGTAGCTACCTATCACTGTGGCTGCGTATTGCGCGGTACCGGACAAAGTATTGAGAGGCAATGAGAAACTGTTTCCCTGTGATTCCTCAAATCATCAGACGCTCGGGGTCAAATTTTTGATAAGCATCATAAGATAAGATTAATAAGCATAAGACTGTAGTTTATTATTTGTCAATTGCTGAATTGTTTTCCGGTCGGCTTCGTTTAAAGCAACCTTAAATTGATCCTCATCAGATGAAAGATCCATGCGTGTTCTAAGGTGCTGCCCTCAAAGTTCGAAACAACTTAAAGCGAACGAAAAGTCCAAAAAGAGACAAAAAGTTTTAAAAAAGGCCAACTATTGGAACATGACCCAATAGTTTGGAACAACAATTGAAACGTGGAAGACGACCTAATAAAGAGCTCATGTTTTCCTCTCAAAAGCAGGCATCCATTTCTGTGTCAAAAATTCAGATATGTCAAAAATTAGCCATTTTTTTTAGCCATTATGAATCCCAACTCTCTAGAGGATCGTCCAGTCCTCCCCAAGAAAATTCGAAAACGACGCATCGCGTGTTTCGTTATGAACAGTTTGTTCTAGAAGGAACATGGTTTTTCTAAAGCCAAGAATGGCCGATAAACGCTTGGGATAAATATATGGCTTTCCAAAGTTTATCCCAATTTGGTGATATATATATATATATATATATATATATATATATATATGTATATATATATATATATTAGTACCTTTTATCTACTTTATACAATTACTGAAAGCCAAGTGTAGCGGGTTTGCCCGACTGAAGTTAACTTTCGAAGTATTTGAATCTCCCTAATTTTTTTGAGTTGGTTTTGGAAGGAGCTGGTCTTAATATGGACAAAATCCTATGCGAGTGAAACGTGACGGCTGTAAAGTTGATTTTGCATGACAGGCAACTATCTCCGCTCTGTCTCAGTCGAATAGTTATGAGGGAACTACAGAGAGGAATAGTGTGTTACAGTTGCATTATGTTCGAAATTTGGTTCAAACTAGGCAACGCCTTCATCTATTACGTATGCCGCTTGTCATTCTGCCCGACTATCAATGCGAGACAGCATCGAACGTCATCAACAAATGAGTACTCTAGGCGGTCCTGTTATAGCTGAACACTTACAAAGTGAACCACGATAGGGCAGTCCTTATTTTCGGTGCTTCACAGTAGCTAAGGACCGCATTAACTATTGACGAGACGTTCGCTCCATCGTTGACCCACCAAGTAAGCTCAGAGAACATTACACGCAAATAGCGTGAGAGATGCGCACTGCTGTTTCACATGGGTCCAGCAGGAAAACGGTTTGCTTGTATGACTACGGGGTCTGACTTATATAGGATTTTAGACTAGGGCCGTGCGCAGTATCGGAGGTTAATTACAAATGAACAGATGAAGAGTGAGCGACTATTTACATGAAGTTAAATTTTAACAATTCTGAAGTCATTTTTTATTAGTTTTAATTATTTCTTCAAGCAACATTATATAGTACGTTAGCGAATTATTTAAAAAAAAAAAACTAATGAAATTACTAAAACATACAAATAGGAATGCACCCTTATTTTAGCAGGGTAATTAATCGCTGCTAAAACAGGGTGAAAAAATATAATACTGTAACCGGAAAGTTGCAAGGGTACAAAAATTCATGCAGCACGCTTACACAAGAACTGCGACAGATGCCTATAAAGATGTTGGTAAACTATTGAGCACTGTTTTCTGTTAACCCCATATCAAATATTATAGCAAAATGATAGCACAACTGTAGGGCGGCAATAGAACTGCTGGAAGTTTTCAATGGAAGAAAAATATACGTGGAGAACGATAACCGCAACCGGTTAACTGTTTTTGATAGAATAACTGAATGAGGAAAATAAACTAGGTACATCGGAATAAGGTAATTGCTACTTTAGAATCTTAAAAGATTTTAATGCTGTTAATCTGCAGACTCAGTTTTGCTGTCGGGTACGTCAGGGTAGGTATTCTGTAGACCAAATCCGTTTACTTTATAACAGGCTAATGAAATAGCGAACACACGGTCAAGTGACCAGAGCAAGTGCTCGATATAATTGTTGCTCTAGACTGACGTATGGGCTAGTTGTACTATTAGCAATTCCGTATTACTAAATCATCCCCAGAAGATGCGCGGAGAACAGCCTGTCCGCCCATGTGGCTTGATACACATGTGATAGCATGTTGTTTTTGTTTACACTACTAAAAATCTACGTTCGTGGGTTTGGATCTAAAACGAATACTCGGTAGGCAATGATTGGGCTGACTCTGAATACCACTAGTTCTATTTTGGGAGAGTTTACGCAAAATATGAAGCCGATCAGACGAATAGTTTTTTTTGGAAGGCTTTCCGTTTTCGCATAAAATGTAATGCATATTTAGTCAAATTGTTTTTTTTGCGATTTGCTGAACTACCGTTGGTAACTTGATATTTTTAAATTTATATAAATATATATAAATTAAAAAAATTGAAGTATTCGCTGTGAATTTTACATTTTTGCAATATATTAAATAGTACGTTTTGTTTAAAAATTTTGTTGAAGATTAACGAAACATGAACCATTCCATTTGATAGTCTTTTATTGTGCAAATTCATTCATTCCTTAAGAGGTAGTGGAAAGGCATGATGATTAACCTGTGAAATGGCTGGTGAAATATCATCATACTATTAATTTCGACATACGACAGATTTTCACCGATTGATTAAATTATTTTTTTCGGATGAAGTTTTTTATTGTGATAGTATATAACGTTAATTGGGGTAATATTAACTTTTTGGCCACTTGCTCGATAGTCGCTGAAAATTCGTAAAACGTCTGTGTTGACAAGCCGTCGTACCAAAGCTGACCCCCCCCCCCCCCATATTGTTTTGTTTTTCTTCCAATTAATGATCGTGATTCCTACCCAAAAAATTCGTAATTCATGCAATATGAATTGCCGCAGTTCACAATATTTACCTCTGTAATTATTTTTCCAAGGAGTCTGGTCCTTCTTGTCTATTACAGGCGGTGGTGTTTGCTTATTCGAGAAGAGTAAATTTTTTACTTGTACTGTCTTTAGGCGATTTTTGAATAAATATCATATATTGGGCGTTCTGCGACTCGTCCCAAATGGAGCAAAGAACTAAGATTTTGTGTAAATAATAAAATTTCTTTGCGACACTGGCACTCTGCGGATATTTTAGAAGGCCTGCTGCAACCAGACATAAATGAACAGACGTTTTCGCGTTTCGAAGATGAACAGGAATCTATTAAAGACGATCCTTATCCAAAAGGCCTATGACAACGATCACAAATGAGATAATGAAAAGAGTGAGACGCCTCGTGCTTGCCGACCGCCGAATCGCTATAAGAGAGCAAGCAAAAAAAAAATTGTATTTAGTTTTAATTGGCCCATGTTAGACCATTTTGACAGTTTAAACGTCACCACTGAATGTTTAGCGAAAGAACGCTCGTGAAGAACTGTGTCAAAAAAGCCTTTTGGCACTTTCCACACTTATTCGAATATGTCATTACAGATGACCAGACGTAGGTGTACGGCTATGGCTAAGAAACTAAGAGGTAATTTTCCGCACATCGGCACAATAACCGAGGGAAGTTGCACGACGCAGGTTTAGAACCATACTGTTCCTATGGCTTTTTATGGCTAAGGAATGGTTTCCCGTGAGCTCATGCCGTCCAACTTTGCAGCTGGTTTCTCCTGTGACCAGTTGGCACCCAACAGGCTTGTCTCTCGCGGCAATCTGACCGGTGGTTTTTGTGTTCTCGGTTTAGTTTTCCGACAACTAGCCTGTTTATTTTCTATTTCGCTTACTTCCACAAGCTTGGTTAAGCGCAAATTAACTTTTAAAGGACTAGGCCGTTGCTCGAAGAACGACAATATAGCGGTTCGTGGCTAGAGCTTTCATACCAAAACAGGGACCGAACTGTCCGCTGTTTATTGTTTACATCCTTGACCGTATAGTATATATGCTTTATTGCCCCTATATACATTAATACCATAATACACCATATATACATTAATCTAAGTTCTAGGAACTTTGTATATAAATAAAGTTTATATACATACACGTTTATATCTATGCACATGAATATATGTATTGTTCTTATATCAATATATAAATTCCATTCAGGTGTGCGATCTATTTCGCCAAGCGCTCCACGTAGTCGTTTAGTTAGTAAGTTGCATAGATCTACAGTATATACAAATTCTATGCTAACGTTTACGCGTGCCTAAGCAATTGTCTTTATTTTTTGTTATATTTTTATTTCAATTTTGTTTCTCTTCCAGTTCCATAATGCATTGCTAAACTCATTTTCACCTTGGTGAGTATCACACTTCACCTTTATATTCATTTTAATCTTATAATAATTACGATGGGAGCAAGTGCATATAGCAGGTAAATCTGCGATGATGCCAGATACCATTGGTAAAATACCGGTTTGCTACTTTATTTTCGTGATAAAATTATGGTAAATATTACTTTGACCATATCAGCTTCAGTCAATGAAGAATTGAATAGCCTTTACTATGGATTTGGACATTGAGTAGACGAAAAACTTACAAAGTAAATAAAGACACAAAAGGAGGGCTGACGAAATAACTTTTAGGTCGGTCAAAGTTAATTCTATTCAGGTATTCGATTCAAACTAGCGTACCTTTTAGCAGGTTTAGATTTTCTATTATCTGCTACAAGTACATTATTTTTGGCAGGTGGACAGCTTAAGCGACCGACTTTCGAACGAACCAACCTTTCTTTTAAGTTAAATCGGTAGCATTGACTTTAGGGCAACAAATTAATTCTATGTTAACTTAGGCGAGTACAGCAAGTATTTAGCAATTCAAGTTTGTGTTAGAGTCCTACTTACATAAATTCACAGTATAAGTTTGATGTCAGTTTTATGTAATGAAATTTTGAGGCACGAGCGCACGACGAGACCTTACTGCAAGGGTTACAATTCTTAACCCCTAACAACTTTCAAATCATGATTCAAATCATGATTTAGAGGTAAAAGGAAGTTAAATATAATACAGATAGGGTAAAGTTTGCGCCCCGAATATCTGTTGGCTAAAATTTTCATTACTTGAATGAGGGTTATTGGAATTACAAAGAGACGCCTTATATTCTAAATCTAAATTGTTGACAGTTACTTTATTTTTTTTCCAATAGACGGTGAGTCTAAATGAAAATATTAAAGGATTCTTGATGCGGTAATACAAATTGTTCTTTTTAGTGATACGAAGATCATCGTATATTGCACATTATCATTAAAGGAAAAAAATGCACTGTTTTTTGCACTTAATACGAATGTATTGTCCAGAATATTAAATATGCTGGCTAAACACACGATCTCTTAAAATCACGTCCTGGTTGAAACCACTTTGACCATAACGATTATGCTAAACACCGAACGAAAAACAATGCGCATGTTTACATATACATTTATGGTTTTAAACATTTCGATGGAAGCGTTCCTAGGGTTCGTTGACAGTCTCCATAGAGAAAGCAAAAAACAGGCCATTACATAGCCTGTAAAAATTTGCGGTAATGACATGGATTACGTATCAAAAGGATCTATTACTTAAAATCCCAGGTAGCGTGTAGGAGCCATCTTCATTTTGGTGATTTTCGAGTAAAAGGGCGATAATCCTTTGGGCATCGGCACAGACAGCGAACATTGTAAACATGGGCTCCTTTGCACTCACCTATAACGGTATTTGATAATTATTATTGATTTCATTACAACGAATTGGTACGTTTTCACGTAACTTGCTAATCTGGTATTAATAATTAGTAAACTCATACATGTCATGATAATAGTAAAAGTTTTCTTTTGAGACGTTAAAAGTTTTCATTAACTTTCTAAAATGCTTATATCAGGAAGGGATAGCGTAGTGAACATTCATTGTCTACGCACCATATGCAGTCGACTAGATAAAAACTGTCCATGCGAAGCCACATGTGCTACAACTTTCCACTCACGAGCGGCAGGGCTCCACACGTCCAGGTCAATTCGCAACTGTTCTACGAATGAGAGGTGAGGGGGCCCAACTAAACGCATACGGAACGGTACATCCAGATCCATGTACAACTGAGCCAATAATGTTAGCAAGTCTTCCACATCTGATAGAACCTCTTTTCTTGAACCTGTAACAACATAAGTGAAAATCATCGGTTAGTTCCTATCAGATAAGGTAAAGGATTTAAGTGATCAAACTACAAACTGGACCTGGTCGCAGGCTTCGTTGTTGGTCAATTAGTTTAAAGTATTCATTCCAGTGAATCTACGGGGAAACAGATCTATTTTAAATTACCCGTTTGTCATAATGCACACTGTACTTTATATATTAAACTGAGCGATTTTGGTACATTTTGGAGGCTTTTGGAGGTATATTTATATATCGAATAAAACAGACTATATATAATAACTTCTTTTTATCAAAAATAAGTAGTTCTTTGGATGGCCTTCGTTTATCTGCGTATGAACCTATCTTGATGTAAAGCAAATCGCTCTGAAAGTAGGGTTCTTTCTGAGTTCCCCGTAGGCAAAATGGGTTTTAGGTAATTTTGACCCCTACGTCACTCCTGGCCAAGAGCCTTAAAGCCTCTAGGTCTTGAAACTTGGAAAACTACTACGCATGAGGTGCGCGCGTTCAGCCTCGAAGTCACGCATGCTCCACGTGTGTCATTGGTAGCATTTTTTATCCAAGTAAACTCTTTTCCTTGCCGGGCCTCGAACACCCTAGACATCATTTTTCGGGTACAAGTGTATATCCTCTGTTTCGAGTTATGCTAACGGTGATATCGGATCACCGCTAAGCATCACATAAGATAGCTTCTTCCGAGCATGAAACGAGGTGTCTACGTCCGGGTTTGAACCCAGACGACAGCGTGTCCCCCAGGCTAGTAAATAAATACGTTACCTACTAAGTTATCACGGGGAAAATATAAGTTTATCCCCCACATAATAGTACCTGCATTTTTAGTAGGGCTCAGGTTATTCTCTTCCTTTCGCATTTTTCCCTGTTTCGAGGACTTACTAATTTGCGACTTGCACCCGGATATTTTAATTCGCGCGTTATTTCGTGCACAAGTCCATATTCTTTGGTGGGTATGACGCTCTTGCTCTCATGTTTTTCCTCGTTCCCTCATTTTAGGATGGCCGGATATGGGCAAACTGTGGAGTTTTTTGTAAAAAAAAATTTTGTAGAAATGATTTACGCAAATATTTCGACTCGATTCGAATATAAAAATATGGAAAACTGTCTTATGATAATTTGCTATCGCCTTAACCATCCAGTAAGTAAGTGGTGGGCGCGCAGACAACGCGACTACCACGCGGCGCTAAATCAGTACTGCTACTTTCATCGTACAAGCCGAGTAGTTAGATAGGCGCATGGCGAAGCCCTTTACTTGTATGTAAGATTTTGTCTATTACATGATCACTTTATTGGGTTAAAGTAACTTCGTGACCTTTTATTTAGGTCTTAACAAATGCTACCAAACATCAGTTTTACATCGAATGAATTGCAACCAAGATCGAATAGAGCATTTTTTAGATCTATTGCAGACCTGCCTGCACAAATCAAACAATGTGTAAGTCGAAATTGTATGCTAAATCTAAGAAAAAGTTGCATATTAGTAATGTCCAAAGGTCGGCGATCAGCTACGTTAACAGAGTACCTTGATTTAGTCACTGATTAGACATATGACTTGGGCCCATATGTAGACTTGGGTCCATATGTAAAGTTCTTTATATAATTATTTACGCTATATGCCCTTCTAATTGTCACACAGGCACAGGCCGTACCTAGTTCTTATTGGGTGCTTGTATATCTACCAAGCTGATTTTCTGTGAACGAATGCTTTGTCGAAGAAACATGTTTATTCTTTCTCTTGGTTTGACTTGCTTGAACAAGACCTTATTTAGTGTAGTTTTAATACGTTGTGGTACCATGCTTACGTTTGTAATTCAACGTAATTATGGTAGATAAAGTAATAATATAGTGCTATTCCGCAGACCTGTAGACTTGTTTGAAAGAGGCGAGGGCCCGATACAACGTTACGTTTCGATAACTCGTTCACCTTTGATCCCTGTGCAGATTTAATCTGTTAAATTATAAGTGCGTCACAATCTTACTGTTTTTTTTTATCACAGGCAGCTAAAGTGGGTGCTAGATAAAACATATCAGTTATGTTTTGGCACATTGTCCTAGTCGAAAGAACAAATATATGAATAAGAAAATTATACATGAGCCCCGATTTAAGGATAGTCCTAAAGTTGCATTTGGATTTTTATAGACACTTGTACTTCCTACATATGTACTTAACAAAAGGAACTGCCTTTATGCCTGAGATCTAGGACAGATACAAATTTGCGTTCTTATCAACCGCGTACATAAGATACACAAGGTTAGATGTGACAGCAGGATGTAACAAAACTCAAGTGGTCTATTTTCTAAAATACAGCTTTAAGTAGCCTTTGAATTGGCCTAATTCGTAGCATATTTGACAGCCGAGAATTACTGGCACGAAAAAAATTACATGGCCCCAAAAATTGACTCAATAATATTATTGTTATCATTATTATGTACCTGTGAATGCTGTGACCCGTGTTGACTGTGAAAGAGTGTAGAGGCCACCTTCAACGCTACCTTCTCTATAGAATCGTGCACTGCAGTACTGCCTCATTGTGCTGACAGAGATCTCCCGTCTCATGAGCTGAGCACAAAAAGCCTCAAGGCTGCTTCCTCCTGTTAAGTGCATCCGGTGTCCTCCTGAATCCTGCTCCTCAACAACAATGTTGTTGCCTGTAGCGGCTCCTTCCACAACTGTGTCAAGAACGAAGTCTGCTCCGGATACCGGAATACGACCCGATGCGTCCAAGCTTTCCACAAATAAGGAACATATTTTTTGCTCCAATCCTGATCAATTCAAAAATGGAAAACCGTTATAGACAGCTTTTATTTACAATCTTGAATCCTAAACTGATATGAACTTATTTTCTTGGCATTAAGAACGCCTTTAGCATCGCTCGCGTGTGGATAATACAGTTTTATAGCCAGTCACTGAAATATCAATATTTGAGTTATTTCTTCAGATATTTCTTTTTATTGCGGTTTTCAAACATACCTGCAAGATCTTCAAGTAAGTAGCACAGCGTCTGGTTCATAAATTGAAGCTTACTACCACCTAGCTCGACGTGATTCTTAGGTTTAAATGAGAACTCCTTCGGCGGAACATAGGTTCGGCAAAGACGAGCTACGGGTTTGATATCCTTGCATAAGGGTGTATTAGGTATTTGTAGTAGCAGTGGAGCACAAATTGCGTCGATCTTGTAGAAGTCTTTTTTCACATTCTTTTGGACTTCGCTTAACTGCAATATTATTAGTGTATAGTAGTTGATTTATACTATTTTTATTCAACGAGTTCATAACAATGTAAAGTTGATACTATAAACTTACTGTGATATAACATTATAATAAACGTTTGTTTACAAAGGCTTTTGAAACTTTTTGACGCCATTATTCCCCTCAGAGGCTTGCAACTTACCTCTAATATTGCACAATACGAATGGAGCGCGTAGTTGTGTTCGCGCTGTCCAAGCATAACTGTGCCCTAACAAGCCGATGGTTATCAACTAAGTGACTTACCTACATAAACCATTACCGCGACGTTATGTGTGTTGTTCTACAGTAGCAGCCAAACAAACACTTACGGGTGCTCAGACTTGTTTTCATCGTATATGCAAAACTCATGTAAGTTCACTATGTTGATGACCATAGTTATGTTAGAGATGGTAACTTCATAGTAGATTTTGTGCGAAATTTAATAATAATTTACATTAATGGGGAAATAATTACGTTATTTCATTCTAGCTCGATATTAGATACCACCAGAGAAATACCATTAGCTTTTGAATCTACTGACATAGAATTATCAGTTACGAACGTATGTAAAAGTGGAACAACTAGTAATAACTTTCAGTTTCGTTACCTGTTTAATTTGTGCTTCGAGTATTTCATCTCTTTTCTTTTTACGCTGTGCGGTGAGCCTTGAAATTTCTTTTTCCAGTCTTACAAGTTCCTTACGAATTACCGTATAGCTTCTGGCCACGTCTCGTAAAGGTGACAAGTCCAAATGCTGACCTCGAAGTCTCATATGGTGTTCAATTTCTAGAAAGAAGCAGTGGTAACGATTATTTTTAGCCTTACTAACTCCGCCACATCAGGAAATATGTAGAAGCCCATTACGATATGCCAAATTAGTTGCTTATATTCAATTGACGAATAAATATTGCGGTGAAAACTGGTTAAAAGGCTCGTACCATGCCAAGCTTCATGAAAATGCATGATAGATCTCTTCTGTCAATTTGGGTAACTCAAATTTTACAACTTGCACCATTATAAAATAATCAGTTCTGAGACGTATGATCACAATGCAATAATAGTAAAATAAAACTGCGCTTAAAACTTAACGGTACTTTCTAATAGGCGCGCATAATTACTCCACTGCGAATCTTATTATGACAAAAATCAATATGTATAAACTAATGAAAAATGGTTACTGTCAGTCAATGAAAGAGAGCTGTATAGAGAGAGAACCTATACGTTTTACAAATATACAGAATAAATGGTCTCAGCGTATTTTTATATATTACAGCCATTGGCGCATGTAGCTTAAGAACCATTAGATTTTCTACATAGTGGATAGGTAGACGAAATACTCACACGACGTGTATTATATTACGTATTAGACTCTTTTTGGAACTTGACATTGTTTGTTAGATGGTGTTAGCCAAGCGTCTCTATTTCAATTATTGCAGCACTTAACAAGACTATATTGCTGAACAACGTTTTTAAATTAATCTAATAGTTAGGTAGAAGAGTACATGTCTATGGATTTTGTTTACATGCAGTTCCAACGAGTTTGTTAATTGTATACCAACCAGGAATATTGTTAACGATTTTAATAAGATCAAAGTGCGGAAGGACGATAGCTCTTTTCGTTGATGCCGCTTTTCCGCGGAGGTAGAGAGCTGTATTAGCCAATACATCTACTGTTAAGGGGCGCGAACCCATACGCACCATTGTGGTGCTGAAATGCCAAAGCGCCAACATTACATACAATAGTATATTACACGCACTATACACCTATTAGGAGAAAAACGTGGTAAAAAAAACGTTGTCATATACATGAGTTGTCCTAGTACAGTTGTACAAAAAGAAATATAAGTGAGTACAACTGTACCGTAAATCAAGCAATTGACCACCGAATATGGTTTTCGTAAACAACTGCTGAACAGACAGCTGGACAGTCGCCATATTGGTTGGCGGGACAGTTCAAAAACGTATCTTTGCTTTACGACAGGTTTAAAAAAATGCCAAATTCATTTAATATTGTCACTGATTTCGAATCAACAGAGTGGCATATTTATATTGAAACATTTAGTATTCATCTTAATTCAGCTTGTTGATTATAGCATATAGCCCGTTTAACAACAATAACAATCAACGAACATGTACTTTCTTTAATCTGAGACGTTCAGAAATCGGTATCAAAATATGGATGTCATATATGTGGGACCGACATATCTAAGGCGACAGTGTTGTCCGCCGGCACGCACAATTTAAATTCTCAGAAACGTTATTTAAACTTTTAAACAAAAAATTATTTTTATATATAAGGTTTTTATTATAACGCTTTATCATCAAGCTAGACCAATTCACAACAAATCATATATGTGAGATTCGTGCGGTAATATCTCAGCAAATAAAAAGATCGAAATTGGACGAATTAAATCTAGATTTTAGAAAAAAAAGTTTCTTTACAGTTTAATAGTCCTCATTTTACATCTGTACGATATATATACATACGATATGCAAAGCGATCTGTCTAAACTTAATTTTCCTTATGACTCCTCTTTAAGACTGTATCTAAATGAAAATAGATATTTTAAAAATGTTATTTGCGTGAAATTCCTGATAGTCTTGTTTATTCAGTATAACGTCCACTCGTTACGTTCGCATGTTGATTTTGTTTAGCATTTCGTTCATCACGTTCCATACATAATAACCTAACGGCCAAAAATTCGGTTGTATCATAATCATACATACTGATTCCAAAGTACACATGTTCTCGATAGCCAGCTTTAACCTAGTATAAGCTTGTATATTATTTTGCAAGAAAACGTAAGCATTTCATAGATTTTAGCTATATGCGGTTAGAAGGAATCTTAGAAAATACGAATGAACTTCTTTAGTGGTACGTTCGCTTTTTTGTAAAAAGTATAATGGCATGATGCCTCCTGTACTAAATTCCATACTCGGAACATGGACATAGGCCGACAAATTGCTGAACGTCCATTAGGCATATCTGCTGGATCGTGAGTAAATCACCAATCAGTCCTGCCGTCGATTTTCACATCGCGGACAAAAATTTTGTCATCAGAGAAAAATCAATAATTACTTGCTGTTCATCCTTGAAAAGATTGAGGACCATAACACTAATAAAGTTTCTTGATTTTTGTTGGCTTCAGGAAGCGTCTGTTTGACTAAACGACCTGTTACATAATATGCCTATTTACATCGATTTTTTTTCAACAACGCCCTGATCGGGGAGAAGGATCATCAGAGATGCATGTTGATCAACTAGCACTCCAGTCCTTTTCTGTGGCGGACCTTCTGTCGTGTCGTGCTATGCTAGAACCTGCTTTTGAAGCCGCATGCATATTTGATAGTTCGTAGTTTGTTGATTTGGACTAACCGATCAAGTATATAGGCTTAGTGTGGTATTGTCTCGCGTGAGCTTATTGTGTAATTTTTTCGTTCAAAGCCCAAAAACAGCGTACCGTTCTAGAAAGTTTTGGCTGGTATGAGGCGTAATAAATGAATTTGATTCTCTGTGGAAAAAAGCAGCACGTTGTCTTCCATTCTTTTCTGACCATATTCTAAATGGAAATATGACCTGCAGAAATGATTGCTAGCTTACTTATGACCTTAGGCATGTATCTATTCTGGGTAAAGGCAAATTTGTGATCTCCAGCGCAAGAGACGTGCTGATTTTTCGAGAAAGGCGAACGTACCAAAGTATTCTGCCTGCGTGGTTTACAAATCGCTGTATAACCGTAAATAGTTAAAGTGTCTTAAGGAAGATTACACGTCTTCCAACAAGAGTTTATCTTCGCCGAGCAGTGCCGTACCAGTATATTATGGAATGAATACGTATGACCGTTAAACGTTCCAGATTTAAACCCGCTAAATTGCTGGGCCTTTAGCTAGTGTCTGGAATGAGACGTGCGTTATTCCACTACGCCAATGATGTGGTTGAGCAAAGTCCAATAGGCCTCGACATGATAAGGTTGAGATGCTGACCTATGCTATCAAAAAGGCGTTTGCATACTTGCTAAGGGAATATTTGAAACTAATTTATGAGCGGTAAGGTGCCAATTTTAAGCTGTCATCGCGGTGGATAGTGGTTCTAGTGTATACATATAACAAAATGGCACCACGCGTAGAACACGTGAAAAAATTCATTGGTTTGATACATCTATTTTATCTATATACAGTTTTAAAATCAACTTATAAGAGGAAGTCCAAATTTGGACGCCTTATCCGATTCATATGTATAAAATAACTAATAAGTAAGTAACTTTTTAATAGAAACCATAACAATAATAAAAATAATATGAAACTTTTTTAATAGAAATAGTCAGATGATATTGGTAGATGTAGACTCGTTCAAGTGTCGCTCGAGCACGTTCCACCTAAAAAAATTAAATTTTGGGCTGATAATAGGCTAAACGTTCTATGTTCAATATATTTGAGGCGATCGACAACACCAAAAGTGTAAAAAGACGCAAAAATTTTGTCGGCTTTATTTGGTCGGCTCATTTGCCGACAAATTTGTTGAAATTCTTAGAGTTGTTTCAATACGCCTATTACATACGTTTTGACGTACCGACAATTTGCAGTCTCATTTTTCATACATGAACTTCACCGTTCGCAAATGTAATAGAAAAAATGGAGTGAGTGACCACCGTATGGTTGCCACTCACTCGCTTGAAATGTATGAAGTAATAATTATAATTCAAAATATAGTTTCACCTGTTATTACCCCAATTTATTTACAGGTGGGAAACGGATATGAGTTACTGCAAGAGAGTTCGATTTATTCCTGAATTTTCTGGACGTCGAATTCTGGATTTGATGGACAATGCTATTGTAGATTTTCTTATTGGGAACGCGGATCGTCATCATGTAGAAACCTTTCAGGGTGTAAAAGATAGTCCTATTCTTCTTCTAGATAATGGAAAAAGGTAGGAATACTCTGCAGGATACTAGCTTGTCAAATAAATTTCTGGTAAATAGTGTATATAGCATGGTCATTATCTTTAAATGGAAAACAAATAGCACGTGCAACTCAAGTTATAAAGCAAAATAATAAGTTCATTTATTGGACATAACTGGCTTTGTTTTTCAGTTTTGGCAACCCGTATGAGGACGATTTTTCGATACTGGCTCCTCTATATCAATGCTGCTTGTAAGTAATTATACATATATTATTTCAATCCTTTCATGTTTTTCCAGTTGCGTCGAAATTTTGGTCGAAACTCCTGTATTAAGTAAGCTTTAAGAATATCATGTAGGTAAAGCGAATATGGAAAAACACTTGAACAGTATTCACTGGAACTGTCAGAGACAACAGATGCTGCTTCGTAGATCCTATAGGCCATGAACGAGATACACAAGAGCGCCTCGTTTTTCAAAAAGGCCCGTGTTCATCGAAGGCAAGGGCAGATTTAAAATCTAAAAAGTCTGCGCCAAAATGCACGTGTGTCTGGGATAAAGTGTGTGAATCCCAGAAACGATGACGAATAGAATTTGTCGTGTCCAGTACTGCGCTAAATCACCAAACATCCGTAGTTTTAAGAGGACTGCACCATTTTGATGGATAGGCTAAATGTTAGTCAACACAAGTGTAATTGGAAAGCAGTGGCGCGTTCTTATGAGCAATAGGCTTGCTCAGAGAAAGAGTGCGTTTACATTCTGAAATATATTCTACATTATAGAAAACCAGCTGACCAAACTTTACATAGAGTTTATACGCAAAAATTCATTATTATTAATTATTTGTTGCAAAAAGAGGCTAAAATACTTGTGTTTATCCGCAATTTTTGCACAATTTAGGCCAGTTAATGTTTGGATGATATAAAACAAAAAAGGTCTTTTTTGTGCAGGTGCTTCTTAGTCTCTAGCCATAGTTTTTAGCTAGCTCTATTTTAACGTCAAAAGCCAAAGTACTAAGTGAAGTAACTACGCATTTGAAGCATATTGTGTGCATGTCTAAGCGCGAAATTGCAGCACTACTAGGATATATAGGACTTCTCCACCAAGGTTTTCAAGAATTTCAACTCAACGTTATTGTTTATTCGACTATTTTGGAAAAAAACAGTTGCATTGTGAGCCTGGCTAGAAAAAATGTAACAAAAACATTCGGCCGGAAGAATTAGCTCTCAAGCACATTCTCCTGTCATTCACAGACTCGTACATAACCAATGCAAGTCAACTGATCGCATAAATGCTCATATTGCTCGTATCCTCATACTGCAGTGGTCGGTAAATTGGACGAGTTACACTGTTAATTACACGACACGGTGGCTCTAAAACATATTCGTGTTTATAGATGATATTCACTACTGGAATAGAATTAATATAAGGGGAATGCTCTTATGCCGTTATTAAAATATGATAAACTTTCAGGTTGCGGAACCAGACGTACCATCGATTAGCCATGTTTGTAGGGAAGCTGGGCGCCGGTTTAGAAAGAATGACTCGAGAGGACCCTCTTTACCCACTCTTAACGCAGGACCACTTTGATGCAATTGACCGAAGGCTTAAATTAGTATTAGGAACTCTTCTATATTGTAAGAAATATTCAAATCTTACGATTGTAGAGAAATGAATGACTATCGTGATGTTCGTTCTGCATACCATTGTGAAATGCAGTGAGGCGTATTGTAGGATCGAAGTGACAAGCTACATTTATATAATTCAGTTGCTTTAAGGTCTTAACTCAAATCCTACCCAAGTAGTATGAACTTAATCGCTGCATGTATTATCCGATACATAATTTGATGAAAAAGGCTAACAAAGATAATGTTTGTCGGTCAGTTTTTAATCAAAAATGTTTGTAAAAAGACAGAGGCTATGTTTCAGAACACGAATATATAAATTTGCTTATGCATCGTTGTATATGCAGTTTAGATAGGCGCAGAATATTAAAGCCTATCAAACAGCCATCCGCGGTTTTAATTGACGTTTCTTATTTAAGATTATGATATTTTATGGATTCCCTGTTTTTGCTATATTCGATCTTCGTTTTTACCGGGCCACAGACATTATTGCCCGTTTCGCAAGTAACGGCGCTAAAAGGTTCTGAACGTTTATCAAAAGAAATTGTTTCGTTCTCAGTTGTGTCAAAAAAAACCTTGCCAAACTAAACAATGTCTAGATGCTATCTAAAAATATTATCTTGTCCGTAACTATTTAGCGGGTCGAGAATTTTGAATAACTTTTAAAATACATGCCGTTTGCGGATGAAGTCTAGTAAATATGTATATCAAGTCTTTAACATTGTACGGCTAGAAGCTCATACAGTGTTAGTAGTAAACAACTACTTTAGAGCTGAAGACGTCGTTCAGTGCTGGAAATTAACTCAGAAAAATTGCGTTTTTGTTTCTTGAAGATGGAATCCATCGATAACCGTTGAAACCGTTGGGCAAAAAGGTCTTTAGGATTTAAACGCAATAATTTTAAAAACAGAAATTAGGAGATTGAAGACAAATTTCCATCTAGATGACTACACCTCAGGATCTCAAACGGAGGAACAAGTTGCTGTAACCTTAGGGATTTTTGAGCAAAACAGCGCATGGCCAATTCGCTTTCTGTTAGTTTAATACAGATTTATTTAAAATAAATATTATAAAATTGATTAAAAATAAATATTATAAAAATAGAGAATACTAAAAATGAAAAAGAAAAGTTCTTCACGATCCAAAACAGTCGAAACAGAAGTACTTTTGATGTGTGATAGAACCATTTGCAAAACTCTTATCAACAGAAAAGCCATTGGAAGCACACCGTCGACATAAACAAGAAGCTTCTATGATCACAGTACCTGGTTCTTTCGATTCGAGCCCGAAAATGTAATCACCTTCTTTGTAGTCCTGAATCTTCCCATTTGACACATCATTGTTTCGTTAAAGGATTCCTGGCACAGTGTTTTCACTAGTCTTCGGTAGACCTGACTGAACCTTGATTTTCACAAGCGAATGTTGTATTCGCCTTTAAGCTCATAACTCTGAGATAACACTCATTCCTCTTCTAATCATAGACAGCCCGAGACATTATGTAAATATTTATAAAGTATCACCTTTTAGTGGTGTGTAGTTTAAAACTTATATAAGTTTTTTATCCGCGCTAGAGCATCACGTAACCTAATAGATTTTCATAGCAGAATCTAATATCCCTGTACATGAAAAATGTTCTTTAATTCTGATCTAAACATTTCGTAAAATACTCCTTTCTTCAATTTTTTTATTGTTCGCGAAACTGGACTATTTCCAAATAACTTCCTAAACGTGCGTTTGTATGCCTTTTATTTTTCTTTACCGTTATTGATGAATAAAAAATTTGATTTTAATCATTGTAGTTGAGGTATAAGTTAAAAAAACTAACTTAGATTTGTTTAGCTAAAAATCTAGTCTCATTTATAAAACCTTTGTAATAATCTACGTCTATATTTATATTTACGTCCGTTTTACTCACTCTGCCCTATTTTTATGTAGCAGACGATTTAGTTCCTTGTGCAGGGAGGGCCCTTCTATTTTTTTAATTATTTGCTATTTAAATGATACGGCCTCTATTATCGTGCTCTCAAAAGTTTTATTCATAGAAGGACTAATATAAATGTTTCTGAATGCAACGTAATATTATGAGGTAATCACAGTATATTCGTGTTAAAATAATTAGAACTTACTGTTTACTTCACTGGTCGTTCTGAGATTTTCAAGCTAAACTGGTTGCTACAGGGGTGAAAGCTTTCATCATATATAATCCTTTAAAGTCTTATTACTAGTTACGGGATATGATGTTTTGTTTGCTTAATTTTTGCAGAAGATCTCTGTAGTTTCGGCGCAGTGCTTTTGAGTTAGCAGGTCTTGTAAAATCGTCTCCAAAAGTAAAGCTAAACGTTTAAATTTTGTAAGAAGCAACCAGCCTGCTACAAGCGAATCCAGCGGACTTTGAAATTGAATAACTTTTGAACTACGTGCTGCGAGTAAACAAAATTTTGCTACTAAATACTATAGTCTTCTAGAAACTTCTAGAAAAACTAGAAAATGAATACCAATTGAACAGATAGAACAAATAGGATGCGGAAGAAAAATACCTTTCAGTCTAGAAAATCAACGCTCTTTTTCGCAAAAAACGCAAATTTTTGTTCCTCGAGGATCACAGCGCTGCGAAAATTCATGGAGGATCTCTGAAAATATCAGGCCTTAAGCAAAAGCACAGTACGTGCCCCGTGCAAACGTTTCAGGAATTTGAAGTGTTGCAGACCAGGAAAAAGATGACTAGGTTTTGAGACCGGAAAGACAAGAACACATTGCTGCAAGACTTTTCATGAAAGCAGACCTTGGAGTTTGGGGCTTTGTGGGCCGAAGCTGGCTTGCAGCGTGTTATGGAATCAAAACCAAAATCTATGAAAATGAGAATACCGGGTCCTTTGCAAACTGACTTCAAAAAGTTGAAAATGCATTTGGTGTGTTCCTAATTTAATTTGCGGAACTTAATTAACATAAGCCTGTTTGAGACACATGGTCACCATAGGCGAGACATGGCTCAGTGCTTACCGCCAGCCGAAGAGAGACCAAGGGGGAGAATGCTATCGTCTTGGAAAAAAACTAGAGCTTAATGACAGCGCAGAGTGGATTCTGGTGTAAAGTAATGGCAATAACTGCAGCGGACATCACAAGCATCTGCTACTGTGGGATATTCACTGAAAATTAGACAGTGAATGCAGCCTTTTATCTCAACAGACTCATGAACCGTTGATACGGCTATCGAAAGCACGCCGTCTGTTTATTTAATGAACATGCCAGACTTTAGTGCCACACCGAAGTTACAAGAGAGTAAGCGAGTTAATAATCTGTTGATTCTTCTTCTTCCGCAATGAACAAGTCCATGTTTTTACGAGGCTTCCCGCACCTTAGAAAGGGCGAGTGATGGGCAATATATCCCACTGTCGATTCACTTCGAAAAGTCACGGATAGAGGATCCACATACGGAAACGCAACTAGTAGGTATATGGTTGCCCATAAGCTACCGGGGCGCAGGGACAGGTGGCTAAATAATGAAGTTAAGCGCCCCTAGCACATGTTAAATCATCATTGTAGCCCAACTAGCTTAAAAGTTATTATTGAAATTAAATAATTTCAATGTTTGCGGGACTCGCTTCATAGATCACCGAAACCGCTATTTTTCGTTTTTATACTAGATTTGCTTCACAAAATTCGGTGTGGCACAAAAAACAAACAATGGAATGGCTGTAACGTTGAATTACGTGTTACCTGATAGAAGGTGAGCCTTTTGAGGAATCTAGGTACATCAAAACTTTGAAAAAATCTTAATTACGCAGCGATGCGAAAAACGTATGGAATAATCATAATAATAAGCTGATTGCTAAGGGGGCAAATAAACTTTAAGCGTCGACATAGTGTAGAATAAGTGCACGAAACAATACAGTGTATAACTTGATGCAAGCGTTACAGATAACTAGTTCAAGGTCTGCACAAAAGAAAGAAAAAGCATCTTTAGTTAGTTTCTCTGAAAATCAAGAACTGGTTTCAAAATTTTAGTTCGCCTCGTCTAATGTCAACAGTTGCAGTTTACTACCAACCAACACATCCATATTTCATACACTTCCTTTGGAAAAGTATTGAGTTGCATATGCTATTCAAACGAGCAAAAACATATTTCATTTGGGGTAAAGTGTGTTGAATATGCAAGGTGACACAAAAGTTCCTAACTCTTGCAGAGATATTAACCACTATAACTCTTTAATTGTCTCTACCGTTAGTGTCGCGACGTGCGACGAAACTTTGTTTCGTTACTGTTAGGTGGTTATTATCAGTCCTTGAGTGTACGTCTACCCCGGCGCTCAGTTAACGGTGCTATATATAAAAAATTCATATACATTGATTTTGTGTTTATGAGTACAACAGATATTGGCTGCTGCAAAAACGTTCAATTAAGAAGAAATGTAAATTATGTACTGTTTCCTTTATCTAGGTTGGAAATCAAAGTAGAAACTAACCGTTTCTAAAAAAACAATGTTTTAATCCATAATGTTATGACGTTGCTATTATTTCTTGCGGTTAGGTTATGCCCACGTATCCCAATCGCCTTTTGATTCTATCTCGTTATTGCACAGCTCATGGCGATTAAGACATGCCGAGTCCATCGTAACATTTATATTCGTTCTTTTTTTATTTATACGTGTGAAGTAGCGAATATGAGGTTAATTATCGGTAGGGAAAGTTTTTTTTAAGGGAAAGTTTGCCAGAGCTATAAGTCGACGTACCTTAAGTACAAAAAACTTGTCCTAATGGATGTAATTTCTTGCGATCTATCAGAACTCGAACTTTAAACGAATGGTTAGTTATTTATTGACCACTGGCAGATTAGCGACCCCGGAGCTACTAAACCTATAACGTAACATTTCGCCTAAACGAGTCTGAGTATATAGTCACAGCTTATATTTTAACTTTCAATCTGGCCTTGAATAGATTTCAGAGGTTTCAAATTTAATGAAATGAAAAGGATACGACCATATACAGCGTGCGCTTAATAACATGTGTGAGTGATTACGTAGTATTCAATATAATTTTCCGCTAAAGAAATGCGTTACCTACATGTCATACAAAAAAAAAACTTTTTTACCCGCATTTTACGCAAAATCAACACAATTAGCAAAAAAAAAAGTTGTATATTCTGCGGATAAACAGTATGACTACAAAAATCAATAGGAATAGAATCCTAGATGAAGGGTTTTAATACGTTAGCAGACTGCTGAGCCCGTAACAACTATCCCGATTTCATTATATGCTGGTCACACATTATTGTTTACGAAATCACAAGACGAAAGTGTTTAGACTTAATCCTGTTATTGTCATCACCTAGTGTCGCTCTCATCTCATACTAAAAATAAATAAATATTCTCAAAAAATATATTCAAACTTTTATACTGTTCTCTATTGTAAAAACCGCAAGTCTCATTAAACACAAGGCAGTGCTTAAAAGGATGTAAAAACAATTTTCAAAACGACTACGTTAGAGATTTTCGTTGGGGCACTAATAAATTGATCCTCAATCCCTATGATAGTTAACTGAAAACCAAATCGTTCGCAATACTGTCCCAACTGAACAAGGTATTTTATTGAAGATTTTCCTTTGAGTTCAGACCTATAATAATTTATGTAGCAAGTGTATACAGTTGTCAAGCTCATTGCGTGAATTTAAATTGCGGAAGGATGCGCGGCTGATTCTACGAGTGCGGCACACGTACTTTCTTTTTCTTAATTCGTATATGCCACAGGATGCTTTTTTCTTTACCGCACACTCCAGTTCAAATAATGGCAGAGAAAATAATACTAGTAGTTCAGTATAATTTACTAATTTCCCAAAACGGCTTGTCCGCCAGCTACTTATTTCAGTTCGTTTTAGCCAGATATGCTTCAACTGTTCAGGCTGCACATCATTTAAATTGGTAAGTTGTCATTTATATTGGATTATAAACGTAAATATTTGAAATAACAAAAAAAACCTCTCGAAATGTCAGTTTCCTCGTACAAATCTCATGTGTAAATGCATTATAGCATACAAGCCCGTGGGTATTTAAAGCACAAGCTACAAGAACAAGACGTACTTCAGCCTCAACATGGAAAATCGATATTTTTCTTCATTATACGCTTACACCTTTATAGTGCTCCCCCAGCAATGCTCACCATTACGCTTTGTAAACAATGCTCGTTTACCACTGATTTTGCACAGTTGTCGTCTTACTAATTAAAAGGCCGCAAGGACTAAGCCTGTACTAGCCCGA